ACAGGTATACCACTTGGCGATACAAGTCTAAGCCGGCAGGGTGGGCATGCTGAATGAACCTATTATAAAACAACAACATGTCATGTCACTGTCACTGTCACTGTGTCACCATCTCGGCTGCACCTTCTGCCCTTCTGCTTCTGCTTGGCAACTACCCGCTGATCCACAATGAGCACGGCAAGCAAATCCTGACCAGGACCAGACATCAGTACTGCACTGACATTGGATGGACTGGATGGATCCGGTTCTGACTGACGACTGGCTGACTGGCACTGGCCGGTCCGGCGTCCGGTTCGAACCGGTGTTGGTGTTGGTCCATGTTACTCCATGTTGCTGCGTCCGTCTTTCCTAATGTACATTGCATAGCGTGCAAGGTATGAGTCATTTGTATCATTAGCACGGTTTTTTTAATTGCTACATCTACATAATGTTGCATTGGCGCATCCCATCCGCCATCAGCACAATAGCAGGCGGAAGTCGGTCACAATCACAACGAAACTAAGACTGACTTCGACCTCGACACTCAAATCGCCAATCAGTCGCACCTCGATCTGTACGTCGCGACTGAGTAACATATAGCCGCTAGCCGTATATCATGTAGCCTTATAGTACACGTCGCACGTCGCACAAGCAACATAGCAGCAGCATCTGCAGCATCCGTTGTGATCTGCTGTTTGCTTTCGGTTTCAGCGTTTAGCGAGTCATCCTGATGCACTATGCACTGCATGCACAAGATTCCGCATGCCAAGCTGCCTATGAGGCACATGAATCACCGTGACGGTCGTGACGCATGACACATAGAATCAGCGACTCGGGATATACAACTTACACCGCGAATCTCATGCTCAGCAACAATACGACCCGTTGTCGACCCATTCTCAATGGCACCAACGTGGCAACTAACTCGTGCACACACGGGTCCTGCCTCCCCCCCTCTGGAGTCCCGTCTCGGAATGCAGTGGGAAGGTCAAATCCCGTGGGTACTGTGGGTGGGACGTTGATTTCGATGTCGATGCCGTCAATAGTGAGCCTGCATGTAGGTGTCCTGGCCGGGTCTGGAGGATCCGATGCCTCACGGTGCACCGGGGACATCATCTGCCGAACCACAGTCGAGACATCGCGTGAGCATGACACGTGTGCATCCAGCAAACATATGCAACAGCGGCTCGCCGGCAGGCAAGGGAGCTGAAGAGGACGGAACCTGTTGCAGACAAAGCATTTGTTTGCGAAAGATGCTTCGCCCGATGTGTCGACTGCTGTGTCAGCATGTGCCAGAGTCCACATCTCCTTGAGTCGCAACAGCTGGCTCGGGACAGTGCTTTGTCCCTGATTCCGCTTCCATGCGGCCTTTACATGCCTTGCGCCTGTTTTTCGCCAGACAATGACCATGTTCCTTGCACGTAGGTCAATCGGAGTCTTGTTCTTGCCTACAGGAACAACAGCCTTGATCATATTCGTCGCATCATCCACTGGCGCAATGCGACCTGTGAATCCTTCCTTGACCCAGGTAATGAACTCAGTGCGGTGCGTGTTGATACCTCTGCATGATTCGGTCCATGAAACCAGTGATACGCCATCCCAGTCGTGGCCGTCTTGGCCGCCCGCCTCTGTCGCTTGCTCAAGCAGCAAACGGATGCCGGTCGAGAATGCCGACGACCACTCATCTGCGGGGTGCAGTCTCTCATCGGCAGCCATGTCGACAGGGAATGCCGGTCCCGGTTCCGACGACGGTGGTGCTGATGCAGCATGACTGCCTGCTGAATCGGACCGACAAAACCAGCAGGGCCAGTAGGGACCAGGAACAACAAATACAACAAACTCACAAAGGTAACTAGCCATCTGCTCACTGCCCACTGCTGCTATCACCCTGCAACTGCACATGCTCTTTGCAAGTACTTGTATCTATGAATCTATAAAAACAATAACATGCGCTGTGGCCTTTACTCACAGATGCACATTGCACAAGACTAATGCCAGCTATGGCTATGTGCAGGCCAAGGTCAGGGTGTGTCACGGGTGTAACAGTGTAACATTGTAATATGAGTTCAGAGCGGCAAGCGAACATTCCACAATTCCACAATGGCAGCTGGCTGGAGACAGCTTAGCTGCAGGGTCTCCGTGCGTCCGTGTTCGCGTGCCCGGGTGCTTGCAGTCGGGATTCAGGAGGGTAGCAGTGTAGCAGTGTAGCAGCAGCATTCGAACAACCACACGGGCGGACCACACTGACACTGACCACTGACTGACCACGGCCATGTACAATTTAATGACCAACGCAGTGTGCAACATACAACTAAGTAATGTAATTAACCAAACTAACCAACCGTCATCATGCGATATGATGATATGATGTGACGATTGACGACTGTGACTATATGACTCGAAACGATTCCGACTATACGGAACAGAACGGTGATATTAGTCGCTCGGCCGCTCAGCGTTGAAACTACACTAAACATAGTGCCCGTCCAATGACAGTGACACGGTGACCATTCGGTGACCATTATTTAGATGGACAATTATTAATGTTAGCCAAATATTCAATTGACTGCTTGCCGACTGAGTCACCAGAGGACCTGGGTGAATCTGTCGCGGAGACGCCCGCTTCCCGTGCCACTGCAATCTCCACGGCCGCATCCACGGCATCTATGCCAGATTGTCTTGCCAAGGCAGCAATCTCCAGCTGCTGCTGTGGATCGTCCATGTTGAATTCTTTGCGTTCCATTTGCCGTAGAACTGCCTCCTGCTCATGCTGTGTTACCAAGTCCTCGTCAGCCTCTGCCCGCAGACGATTCTCAAACTGCTCCTCCAGCTCATCATTCCCGCCGCCAATGACATCTGGATCGAAGGCTGCCGCAGCACCAAGATGCAGCAAACGAGCAGTCTCGTCCGAGACACCCGACTCAACGTCCGTGTCGCTGTCCACATCACCATCATCGTCGCCGCCATCACGCGCCTCCGCCTTCCGACCAGTGGCTTGTGCCACAAAAGCTTGATTGGGAGGCTCCAGCGTGATGAGCGGCTTTGGTGTGGAGACCGTGGCAGACGTCACCGGACCGTCGCAACCCAGCTCGGTGATGTGGCACTGCATGACCCTCACGGCTGAGCCTGCCTTCACCGCATCGTACTGCTCCTTGAGCACGGCAACGAAAGGCTGTGAGCTTTGCAGTCTCCAGGTCAACCGGCTGCATGCATGCTGGGCTGGGCAGACTACGTACCTGTTGCGGACCTTCTCTCCGGCAATCCAGAAGGTAAACGAAGATTTGCTTTGGCCCTGATGCTTAACCCCGATGACGAAGACCACCGGAAGAGATTCATCGCTGCAGTCGAGCTCCTTATGCACCTGTGCCGAGTAGCTGGCTGCCCAAATGTGCCGGAGGGTGGTGGTGTTGAGGTGCGGCTGCATTTTGTTGCAAATTTTCTTCACCTCCTCGCTAGTGAGACTAGCATTGGGGTGGTTGGGGTGCCACCGGCTGGGATCCGACTGCACATGCCCCACCTGGTCCCAAACTTCAAGGCACTGATGCCGCACCCTCTCGGCAACAGGCCGAAATGTGGACCACTTGGCAGAGCTTTTGCCTGTCCCCTCCCCTGCCTCACCGAGAAGGTACTTGAGGCCCACCCGCGCACTGCGGAGGTCCAAACTGCAGTTGGGGCATCGATCTCGTAAGAGAGCAACCATTTTGTTGAGGCGCTCGTTCTCCCTCACGTCTGATTTCCAGAGGATGCTTGCACACTTCAGTAACCAGTACAACCTGCGGGAGCAGAGTCCGGATTTGAGCGTTTTCTGCAGTGCACTCTGGAATCGATGCTTCACTTTGCGTGCATTCACTTCCAACGACGCATCCGGTGTGTTCAGCAACTCCCTGGCGAGAGCAATGCGTCGCTCACAGCACTTGTCGGGAGAAGAGAAGGTGAACCACAGCAGTCGGTGAGGAAATGACTGCAAAGGATGTACAACACGGCGGTGAAAGCCAGTGGCGTTGTGCAGCAAGATCTTGACGGCCAAGGCATGCAAAAAAGTAGCATCTTCCGTGGACAGGCCATCAACAACATATGTCCAGAAGTTGTCAGAGTTGCCTGAGTGCGGCTGCGACGGAGACATGACAGGCGACAGACAGCCACAGAAGGAGGGTTGACGGCCCCGGCGGGCCAACAGCTGACAAACTAAGTGTCACTCGAACTGTAACTATAACTTATGCCATGATTCCATGATTATCTTGGGATACTTATGTACATCCAAGCAGTCGTCGTCTTGACGGGGACGCCTCGACGGTATCGCGGAAGCAGCCGTAGCACATAGTGTCCATAGTCCATAGTAGGTTGGTCATATGGTCGGTCGTGATGGTGGAGCTGGCGGCAGCGGGGACAGTAGAGACTAGAGGTGGCGGCGGCGGACCGGCGAACGGCGGCCAGATGATAGTAATGATAGTATTAGTATGCAGTATGCCAAGTGTATACTGTGTGCAGAATGCAGAGAGTGAAAGTCACAGTAGAGCTTGACAGTAACTTTTTTTGTTTGCACTCGGCTTCGCACTGGATATAATCTCAATTCGTCTGTACGTCTCTTCGACTCTTCGATGATTAGATGAGTGATCAGTAATCAGTATGTAGCAGTGATCGCTTATGACCTGAAAACACATATCTGAAGTGCTACGGCATCACAACCCAAGACCCAAGGGTGGTCGCACAAATGAGTGGATTACATGGCATATGTGACCATGCGACAAGTAAGTCAATGGACAATGGTCAAGAGTCAAAATGATTACCAACACCTAACAGCCGCATCACATCAAGACAACGACAACTGCACTATTTCAATGCACAATATTGGCACAGCTCACACAGCATGCAGATGCTCAACGACTCAACCAGAGGTGCAGGTGGCTCAGGTGGATCAGCGCTGTAGACATGCTAGAATATGATACTGACAATGACACGGTCACTGTATAAGAATCCATATCCGCAATAATCATTACAGACTCAACACGCACCAGTCACATCAGTACTGATACAGACTGATGACTGATGCCGATGCACCAGTGAATCGTGTCGTAGCCTGGTCATATCAGACTGACATTGGTCGATATTCGTACCGGTTGCCGCTTGCCGATCGCCATTGTCCATTGTCTACTGGAGCTCTGGATATGTTGGATTGAAATAAAAGTGCCGTGCATTGGTCTGAATATCAAATTATCAAGCCAATCCCAAGAAACCAAAAACGAGCGAACACAAAGTCAAGCCAAATCGACGGACCGACCGATTGACGGACACCGGCAGAACCCTGCAAAACAGCAACACAAGACCCGAAGGGTCGCAGCACGTGATACTGGATACTGTACTGACTGTACTGGATACTCATACTTATCATACTTCAACATTACTACTAGCCGCCCGTTGTGCCCGCAGGCAAATGCGAGCCAGTGCCGACTGCAACAAGCGACTGGCCAGTGTCTGGAACTCCGCTTGCAAGGATTCTGCCTTGCCCATTACCAGCTGTGCCAGAGTGCCTCCACGTTCTAAAAACTCGCGTTCCGGCACTAGCTTCTTGACAAAGTTGCTGAGATGGATAATAGGCTCCCGTGCACGATGCATGACTTGTATGACCCTGCCCCACATTCGGTCCGACATTGCCAAGAGAGTCCGCCCCCTCCATTGGCTCATCTTAATGGAGTAAGCTTTGGTTTGCTCGACCTCGAGCTCGTTGGGGGTCTGCTTGGCGCCCGTGGCCTTCTCTTGGCTGGCTGCCTTCTTCTTGGAGACCTGGACGGCTTGCCTGATCTTCTGCAGGGCTTCCATGTAGCACTGGTCAGTGGCAGCGACATCATTTGGCAAGTCCGTCAGACGTTCTGCCTCCGCATCATCGATGGCCTTGCCTGTAAGGACCTCGGCCATGCACAGCGCCAACCTCGGAACCCCTGCCTGCAGGATGCGTTCTTCGAGCTCATGCACTCGCCCCCAGCGCTGAGACACAGCCCGAGGGAACAGCTTCTTCACCGCTGCCTTGGCTGAACAGGCTCCCCAAAGCTGTCCCCACCGCTCGTAGAGGGGCTGGGCCACGTCACGTGCAGTGTGCGCAAACATGGCCAAGGACGTCCAATACTTCCAGTGACAACGACCGGCAAGGAGCCTATCGCAAAGAAGGAGTGAGGACATGACCACGAGATGCGGTGCATGCTCCAGGCAGTCGCTGTCAAAAAAGAAAACACCTGGCTTCTCCGCCATCTCTGCCAAAATACAGCGCCTGGCCCAGGATTCATTGCTGCCCTTGTCTGTGGTGCAGAGAAACAGACGGTCAAGGTCGTGCCTCGGGCCGTTCCGGAGTCGATCGGTATGCAATCTAGAATATACAGTCATATAAAGAGCAACAACAACTAGCTACAATGCCAATACCAGGAGCAGCGCAAGAACAATTAAACACTGCCAACACCAATGCGAACCATTACCATCACCGTCACCACCACTGAACAACAGGAACTCACAATAGCACACCGATGTCACCCCGTCTCAACGCAAACACCTGCAGCAGCGACAAAACAAGAAAAAATAGCAAAGTATGCAACAGCAGCAGCAGCAACGACTCCATCGACGACGATTCCGACTAATTCAACGATAACACCAATAATAACTACCACGCCACAACTGCCACAACAGCAAATACGGCAACTGTAACAACACAACACCACTACAAGAATAGCTGAGACCCTGAACCCAAAACCCTCAAACCGAACCCTGAAACCCTGAGACCCTGCACCCAAAACCCTAAGACCCTGCACCCAAAATCCCAAAACCCTGAACCTTCAAAATCCTAGGCCCCACTCCCGAAGCCCTCATGTAGGAACCTGATTGAGTCGGGGGGGGGTTAGAGCATCATGACATCAGATTCCCTGTCACAGTATCATCGGAGACACGCTCCTCCACTGCAACTTCATCCCAGAGAGTACTCCAAGACCAGGCTCGGGAAGAAGCCTCACCATGACCGCACTTCCGGCCCCTCCACCCCCGTAGGGGCATCACCGCGGCCAGAAATCGTGACTTGGGCCGGGTAATTAACCCTGACACCCCAAGGCGGAGGTTTGCCGCCCGACGACACTCTCACTGGGTGACCCTGCCTTCCTGACTACGGCAGACACACCAGGAGGAAAGGCCCCAGAGGAGCCAAACCACCCGGCCGGGTTATCACAGTAGCCGTCACCCTCCAGTGTCGATTTACTAGGCAGGGAGGGAGGGAGGGTGGGTGGGAGGCCAAGTCAGAAATTAGATGGTATTCCGGCGGGTTCGTAAGATCTGGGTGTAGGGCATTGTAGGGTTCAGGGCTCCTTGTAGTAACCCTGAATAGAGCCCTCTAAAGGAAGCCCTACTCTAATTCTGAAAGTGTTGTACCCACAACAACACGACGTAAAATCAAGTAGAACAACGACAACAGTAAACCGAAAATGGCAGCGACAATTGTGACAACGACAACGACGACTACAACAACAAAACAACAACAACAAACAAAAAAAAGGTAGCGACGACAGCGACGACAACGTTAAAACAGTAACAGCGCCGGTAAGGCGGTAAGGCGGCAGGCTGGCAAAAAAAAAGAAAACCAACAACCAACAAGAAGTAAAACCACCCAACAGCAACAACAGCAGCAGCAACAACAACACCAACAGCAACAACATAAACACCACTGCAACACCACCAACACCAACGTAACAACAACTAAGAACAACACCAACAAGTAACAACAACCAACAACAATATAACAACAACCAGCAACAACAGCAACAGCAACAGCCACAGCAACAGCAACACCAACAACAACAGCAAGCGAAAAGATAATGCCAACGATGAAACTAAGAAACTATCAAGTGACAACAACAACAACAACAACAACGACACCAACAACAATAACTATTGCTACTACTACTACTACTACTACTACTACTACTACTACTACTACTACTACTACTACTACTACTACTACTACTACTAGTACTACTACCACTACTCACTACTACGACTACTGCTACTGCTACAACTACAACAACGATGATAACGACAACAACAACCACGACAACAAAATGCAACAATAACTATAACTATAACTTACAACAACGACCACAAAAGCAGCAGCAACAACAACAACGACAACAGCAACAGCAACGACAACGACAACAGCAACAACAAACAACAAACAGCAAACCACAAACAAGCACGAACAACAAACGACCCACGACAGACACGACAGACGACAACAACAACAGCAACAATTAGCAGCAATGACAACAACAGCAAGGGCGACAGCAACAACGACAACAACGACAACGACGACATCAGCAATATCAGCAACAACAAGACTACAACAGCAATTTCAACAATATAATAACAACAACAACAAAACAGCAACAGCAACAGCAACAACAGTAAAGCAGAAACAGTAACAGTAACACACACCGACACACCGGCATGAATCCCGGTATGAATCATATCAACGAATCAACGAATCAACAACTGAATCAACAACAGTAACAACAACAAGAACAAGAACTAAGAACGACGTGACGTAGCCCGTAACGACGGTTGAAGGTTGACGGTTACTACGGTTACTGCCACTGCTTACTGCTGTACGACGTTACGACGGCTGCCACGTACTACTACTACTACTACTACTACTACTACTACTACTATTACTACTACTACTACTACTACTACTACTACTACTACTACTAACTACTACTACTACTACTACTACTACTACTACTACTGCTACTACTACTACTCCTGCTGCTGCTGCTGCTGATGTACTACTACTACTACTACTACTACTACTACCACCGTCACCGTCACCACCATGTTAACAGCACTTTAAAACAAACTCGCTGCAGAGGTGTGACTCTGTAGGTGGCTCCTCTCGCCACGAAGGACATCCCAAGCACTGGAACCCGCGAAGCGTCACATCTACGGAGCCTGGTCCGGATTCATCACGAATGTTGATAAGGTCAGCAAGCCGTTTGAGCCTTCTGAAGTCCTGCCATGCCAGTGACTGCTCCTCATGCGGTTTGACATTGGCGATGTAGACGGTGTCGAGCTCCATGGCACTAATCTTCTGGCGGCCATTAGACGCATCTTGTCTGTATGCGTGCACACACAATGACCATGCAGCTGTGGGGTGACGTGGGGCAGCAGCAAGATCAGAATCCACTGCAAGTGACTGCTTCATGATGGTATGGAACAACCTCGCGGATGCAACCAAGCTAGCTCCTACCTTGAGCTCGCACCGCGACACCGTCGTAGCTGAAATGTCCGTCAAGACCACCCGACCAAAGTCCGCGCAGGATATGTTCGACAGATTGCGCCGTACCTGAACCAAACTCAACAAAAGATGACTGTGACACAGCGTGAGACAGTTTGACAGCTTTAGAAGAACAGTTATAAGTTCACACAGTCGCAGAGTCACACAATCACACAGCTCGTGCAGACAGACAATGCCAGACAATGATTCAATGATTCAGTGATGTTTGACTGCAATGCAACTGATCTAATATCAGGAGACTCATGATTCATGAGATGACTGTCATGGTTCATGATTCCTGAGATGCCTGACTGACTGATCCATGACGAGGTGGCGTGACAAACGATACAGTTGAATCCGTTAAGTCCGAACGAGCCACGCCAACGTTGACAATGCCTGTCGGTGTCAGCCAACTCCACTTTCGTTTCGGATTGTCGAAGTACTCATCGTTTGTTCGCTGCACACGGAAGTCGTCTGCAGACTTGAGCTTCTGTATCTCCTTCCTGTACTTGTCTTCACGCTTCTGATTTTGATGTTGCAGGCGTCGATACTTCTGCTGAAGTTGCTTCTTGCTTGCCTTCAAGCTCTTGATCTGAGCTTCTTGCCTCCGGATCATGTCCAAGGATTGCTGTTGCATGAGTTGATCTCGTGGTGCAGGCGCCACGTCCCCAGAGTCCACCACATCCACACCCGCAACGCCTTCCCGGTTCCCGGACGAGCACTGTGATCCAGAAGATCCGGCGGCTTGAACTGCCGCCCTCCGTCGTATATTATGACGACACCGCACGAAACTAGAAAATCGTGAAGGGCGGGAACTTGCATTCGCCTGCCGTGACGGCGACCTCGAGCGGCGACTCGAGCGGGCTGGGTCCGGGGGCAAAATCGGTGCCACGGGAAGCAAACGGAGCAGTTGTTGCCAGGTGTTCGCTTTGGCACGGCATCCGAAGTCATGGAACATCATGACAATGACATTCGGATGGTAACTTTCATCGTCACCATCACTACCTCTCAACGCGAAGCTCTGAGCGGTCTCTCTAATGAATTCTGGGAAAGTTTGGTTCACTCGGGTTCCCCCCCGGTGCGCTTCCAAGCCATCCCACAACCTTTGCAGCCCGGTCAGTTGCACAATGTCGCACTCCTGGCTGTCGGTGTGCACCACGTCCACGATGATCTCCCGCAACCCCGACCATCGCGACAAGGACATGGCAGCCGTACACACTCCCCTGTACGACACCACCTAACAGCCGAACAACTCAACAACACTCACGGCTATAACTTGTTCAACTGCCACATCGTCAATCGCGAACGTGCTCGCAGGTCACAGATGTACACGGCTGGCTGACGCAGAACTGCTATCCCTACATCACCACCAGGTTTCACGGCTTCATGGCTCAAATGTACTGATTAATCAAGTCATGAGTCACGTACCTCATCTATCTGTAGCAGAGTACCAATACCTGACGTTATTCGTAGGTGTCTGACAGAGCGATGATGTATAGGCGGGCCTAGTCCAAAAGATCGTGAAGCCAACTGATCAAGTGGGACTCGAGTAGATCAAACAGACTCACACATCATATTATTGCTACTGACTGACGGAATGATTGGTGGCATGTGACCATAGCAGTAAACAGCCGCCGATCAATATCAATATCTGACATGAAGCGATCCCGGTATTGATATGACGAAGCAGTGAGCGACATGCAATCATGGCTGGGCTGAGCCGTCAACGGAACAGCGAGAAACAAAGCTCAGACTGAAATATCATGACTTACATGTACCAACATTCTCTCGTGACAGAGATCATGCTCACGGCTTAACCTCACACCTCGCATGCCATGTTTGCCCGACAATGAACAGATGTCACCATCACCTGGCTCGATATGTAACGTCTTACCTGTGCAGACCATCATAACGAGCAATAATAGCATGTTGCCAGGAATATCATATCATGTCATTATGACCCAAAAAAAAGTCAAGTCCACACTTTCATAGCATCGTCGGGTCCGTGGGTGTCGACAAGAGGCGACCCCGGGCCAAACATCAATCACAGCAACCGGTAGCAGCAGGCAGTTGTACAGTGCACGTGGTATCTTCGGAGTCATTGGGTGATGAGCGATTAAGCTACGACCCAAACGATTTCAAACCCGATGTAGTTACGTGGCGGTAAGCTACGATTGCCGCAGTTCATTCGAGGCATGACATCCAAAGTCCTGGAAATAGGAATGGATTCCATGGTGCAGGCCGTACAATACTTCATGTTCCCGTCACTACAAGCTAGCATTGCAACGATATCAACGGCGTAACTGCGATCTGTTTGCCTACTTCTCAAACATCACAAAAGCGTATCTGCAACGAAAAGGCCGTGTCGACCGCGTCCTGAGTCAACTTATCATCAGTTCACTCTAAGACAATCCGACTCAGCAAAGGTGTGTACAGCTGGGTGCATACATGCAAGTGCATGCTAGGAGTGGTAGCATACGGTCAAATCAGCTGATGACTCCTGCACAGGTACAGCGACGAGGACTGCATGTTGCTCCATGATGTCAGCATATTCACTTCTACATGCATTACATACTCTATGTTTATCATCCCATGTCAGGCAAGGTCCACGTAAAATCTATTCACGCCAGCTGCGAATATCTAAATCAGTTATCATGTATCCAGAGAAACTATTAAGTAAAGGTGTTGGCGGAAGATATTCATGACGTCCTGACATGAAGCAAGCAACAAGCAATTAGTCTACTCAATCTGTATCACATGCCAATATATCAAGCACTCCATGTATCACCCTATTCCAAGACATGCCGCAAGTAACAAGCAATCACTGATTCGCATATATATGTCGCAAGTCAATATATCAAGCTCAAGGTATCAAGTTATGCCAAGCCATGCCGCAAGTAACAAGCAATCACGCGATCATATATATATATGTCACAACTGAATATATCAAGCTCAAGGTATCAAGTTATGCCAAGCCATGCCGCAAGTAACAAGCAATCACGCGATCATATATATATATGTCACAACTGAATATATCAAGCTCAAGGTATCAAGTTATGCCAAGCCATGCCGCAAGTAACAAGCAATATCTCAATTAATTATGTGTCGTATGTTGTATTCAGGTATACTTGAGATGCTATGTATCCAATATATATTCCCAACCAGCACATCAAGCGACAACGTTCCAACATTATTTGTGCCGAGCTGCAGTGTTATCTATTTACAAAGTTTCAAACGATCAAAGAAGCATGACAAAATAAATCGTGGGCTGTTTCAAAACCACACACAAAATCCATCTGAAGAGAACAGAAACTCGCACCACACCAAGCTTGAGGCGTCAATTCAAATACTGGTCCTAGTACTACTTAATCTTACAGGAAAAAAACTAAAATCAAAATAAATCTCAGTTTCGCTATGACTAGCATCATTAAAAAACATGACATTATTACCACACAATAAAATTCGTTATGTTGGGCATCGAGAAAAAACATGACATTGTAACCACGCAAACACACTTTCCAAACCAAAAAAAAAATAAAGTCTAAGGAAAAAATGAATCCAGTTATTATTGATCCTGATCATAATGATTTGCAATGTCTATGTCATATAAGAAAAAACAAAAACTGAAGCTGATAATGTTAGTGAATCCACTTACCGGGGCCTACCCGTACTCCCAAACAACGTTTGGCTCATGAGCTATCTGGCTTCACCCACAGAGGCAGGAATGAATGTCATGAACAGTCGGACAGACAGACACCCTTGAATCCGGTCTGAGTCTGACCCCGCTGCTTGCATCGAAAACCGGCCCACCATTGCAGACCAGGGTCGTCTAAAGCCATCCGCACCTTGGCTTCCGTCTCCTTGGAAACGGAATGCTAAGAGCGTCGAGTTGAGCCATCACCTGAATCTAAACGGACATGAGAAAATGGAAAAGCACGCAAACAGACATGTGGCGTGTCTGTGTGTGGACAGGAAATCCATGTATAGCCGCATCACAACATGAGCGTGTAATGCGTACATGAGATAAATGTTTTGCGGGAGAGTGCGGGAGAGAGAGAGAGAGAGAGAGACAGACAGACAAACAGACAGACAGAGAGACACAGAGAGAGGGAGGGAGGGAGGCAAAGGGATAGTGTTTATGCATGAATGCATGTAGAGCATGCAGTGCCTCTGCCTGTCTGCATGCCTGCACGTGTGTCAGTACATATATATATATATAATACTCAATTATACGTATACATATGCGGCACATGCACATGTAACGTACAGGCGTAAATACCAATGTATGTACGTCTGTACGGACTCACACATGTGTCTAAACAGCCCGGTTCAACGCTGCAACTCCCGCTCCCACTCCTGCCGGGTGGACTCGGCGATGCGCCGAAGTCTCGCAGCACAGACCGGCCTTCGGAATTCAATGGACGTGTAAGGATGAATTACTCAGTTGTTCTGTTCGGGCCCCTTGCAGGACACAATATAGTGCATATGCTCACACGGCAGTTGTCGTATGGCCACGAACTAGGTTTTCTGTTCGGTCAAGACCTCCTGATGAGAAACAGTCTGGTGGAATTCAGAACGGAGCGTAGCACAACTCCGACTGATCTCAAAAAAGAAGCCGGCTAAGGCCGCGGCTTCGGCAAGACGTCGCCCGCCAGGAACTGGAGCAGCAGCTGCTGGGCATCGTACGGCCTCGGTGGTGTGTAGTCTGTAATTAAGCCCAGGAAGGCTATCAAAACCCTGTGATGTATCACCCCTGACCCCGAAACTTCGAAACCACAAAGCCCGTATGAACTCCTGCACGAGTAGCTCAGGCGGTGTAACAATGAGGAGAATGATTTGCTTACCTTGTTTTGTTTCATTTCAATAAACGCGAAATGCAACGAAACGATTAAAGCAAATACGAACGGAATGACTCTTCCCAAGCTTAACTGTGTTATCTCCCATCGTTCCTGCCTGCGTGCTGTGTGTTAAGGAAGAGAGACACTGAAGGAACGTAAGCGTGATTTCTTCATTAAAACACAACATACACACAACCAGAAGGCAAAAAAAACAAAATTAACTCAATAATGCTTGTTTCATTTCATTCCTTCGTCGTTGCTGAACTAATTTAGGCCTTCGGGGAACAGGAGTGACAGAAGCTTGGAATCTAGGTCGTGCTTTCGTTCCAGAAAGCCTGTATTACTGTAAGCATGAATGAACAAGGCATGCACTAGTTCCCTTTATCGTTGTTCAAGTTTTTGGGCTTGTGGCTTCCTGTTCCTTTCCCTTCATCCTCTTTTACTCGGTTTGCTTGTGAGTGTGCTGTGCTTACTTTTAAAAAAACAAAACAAGTGAAAGAACAGAACATGTGTTTGCTTTATCAAAACAAACTCAACAAACCACTGCATCCTTTCGGGTCGCTGTGTGTTTTCTGTTTCTTTGCGCTCACTTCACGGTTTCGTTGTAACGTAAGCACAAAATGAAACAAACACAGGAAACAAAACAAAGACCCAACCATAAGGAGCGGAGTGTGAGTCTCTTGCCTTTGGGGTTTCTTGGATGACTTGAGGAACCATCGCAGCAGGAAGCCGTCTACAGCCCAGGGTTTACCTTAGAATCCTCGTTTACTAGTTTCTGGCCACCGAAGCATGCTTTGCTTCATAACTCATTTTGCCCTTTTACAACCGGAGGTGAAGAGAAAAGACCAAACTTAAAAGGGCAAACACACGCACTACATTCCACGTCGTTTGTTCCTTGCCTTTGTATTTAGTTCTTTTCGTGACTGGCAGTTGCTTCTTTCCTGTGGTAAGTGGAAGCACGGACCAAAGAAAGCAAATGAATGAGCCGTGGATGCCAGGGTGAAGTGAGATAAGCCTAGAGTTAGGCCTAGGCAGAGTTAGGTGTCGGCCTCTGCTCCAAAGCCTCAGTCCTAAGCGCCAATAGACCTCAAAGAAAAGTGAAAAGGAAAAGGAGAAGGGAACGCATGCTTTTTCTTCATTCACCTTTTTATTTTAGGTATTTGGTGGTGCGTTGCGTTTCTTTCGCTAGTTGAACTCTTGTGCTGTCTTCGTTTACTTGACATTCACTCTTGAGAGAAGTGAAATGAAGCAGGCGATCACTTCGCTTCATTTCATTCATTTCAGTGTTGAATTTGGGTCTTTTTCCAGAACCAATAGATGACTTGATTGGGGGTTCCTCAGTTAAGTGGGTCAGTAGATGCAGGTAGAAAACGAGAGGGGGAAAAGAACAACTTCTTCTCATGCAAACTATTGAATGCGCGTGGTCAGTTGTAAATAAATGTGAACTTTTTCAATCGCTTGCCAGGTGTGCCTCTTGGTTTTAAATGGAGAGAAAAATGCTTCGGCTTGTTCTCTTTATTGTTTCTCTTATCTAACTAGGCCACAGAACGAACCGCATGCTACAGCCACTCAGAATTCGGTAAGCTTGGAAATGACCAGGAGCCAAAAATCCAGAAGAGACCGCATGTTATTATCTTTGTTTCCTTTGTGTTCTACCACCGAACCCTCTTGTAGGCTTTGGTCCTGGTGTGATGACGGGTGCAGTGTGCCTAACTAGATGAAAGATAAACGAAAGGCACGCAGTGCAGGCTTTCATTCAAATTAAGGCAGCCGCAAGACCCTGAAAGCCGGGTGATAGATGACCCGGGTTCCTAGGTGTGCATTTTGTTTCATTAAAATTAAGAAAGCCGTGTGTTCCTTTCGCTCTTCCGCCTCGCTCCCTTCCTTCATATTTTCCCGTGTCTTTTAACTTTAGGCTGGGGGAACGACAAAGAGCGACGTGCGAGAAGGAGCCGTGTGCTGGATTCAATTGTCAAGTCCCGGCATGAAAGTCCAAAAGGTTGAACTAAAATGAGCAAATCCCGAAGGCTCCACGTACTTCATCCTCGATCCACAGTCTACAACATCAGGAACCAACAGACGTTCCTCATTCTCGCTTACTTGGTGTTTACTGGTGAGTCAAAATGGTAGGTCAAGAGGGCCGAAAGACCCAAGGAAGGCATGCTTCCTTTCACCATGCTCAGTCCATTATCTTTACTTGGATCTTTTGAACTCTTATAGTATGAAGAGAGATGATTGAAGAAAGAACAAAGTTTAACTTTCAGGATCTTCTGGTGAATGAGCTGCTGTGATGGTTTGTCGCCTGTGTTTCTGGGTCAAACGCGATCACATAAAGAGGGGGCCGCTTTAACACCACCGCGGAATGGGGGCCTGTTTCACAATTGGCGGATCAACCGCCATCGCTTGATGAGGAGGCGGGTCTTTCTCCGTGGTTGATCAAACTTATGATGATGATTGCTCCCATTTCGCAAACCTGCTTCCACATTAGGCGAGTGGGGTTGATCATAATTTCTTAAGCCAGCCCCCTTCTTCGGCAACGACGGTTGATCTTGATTCATAAACCCGCGCCCTCAGCGGGCGATGGCAGTGTCTCACAATTGCTATGCTCACCCTCATCAGGTGATGGCGGTTGAGCACATATGTTGAACCAGCTATCTCATCAGTCACCACCTGCTCTTTGTCCAGGCCCCCTCATTAGGCGATGGCGGTTGATCGAACTCCTGAAAAACAACCCTCATTGGATGATAGCAGCTTCTCATATTTCTTGAACCTGCCCCCTTGATCAGGCAAAAGTTGTGGATCACATCATCTGTTTTTACTTGCTCCCCCGATGGCGAAAGCCATATACATTGTATTGGTACTCGGGCATACACCGAAACCAACCTGGAAAACCCTGAAACTCACACCTTCTTCTGGGAGGAGCTTCAGGAGGATGATACTGGGGTGCGGTGGATGCTGCCGGGAACCCTGAGTGCACTATCCGAAAAGCACAGACGAGAAAGCAAGAGCGTTAAGACAACGCGACATTCTTAAGAAAAACAGAACCGCTTCTATATTCCACGGCTTTCTGACTGCAGCCTTCTGTGAGAGAGTGTCAGGGTGCTGTCCTGCATCGCTCCCCGAAGGGGCAACCAGGTCATCACCGCCGACACTTCACAAACAAGCTGGTCAGAAACTACTTCTCGCCGCTCAAACAATAAAGGTGATTACGAACTGAGCATGTCTGCAAGACCCTGCAGACCCCACCCTAATGGAATTCCCTCTTCTAAGTGCGAAGCATGCAGGGCAAAGAGCTCTTTCCCAGCACCCGCCGGACGCTCAAGAGCCAGGTCCAGATCTGTGCCGCACGCACCCTGACAGGCCAAGCTTTCAACAAGTTGTGCATCTCCGGTATATCAAATGTGCATATATATATATATATCAACTATACATACAGTTGTTTACACTTTGTATCTGATTACTTATGTTTGCTTGCATGTTTAATCTAGTAAGTTACATATGTACATAATTCCTTTCTGTATGTAGTTAATATGTGTTTTAGTTTGACAGCTATACTTCTGTATAGCTGTATCCCGACGTATCCATCGATCTGTCTATCTCTGTCCAGGCCTATAAGTTTCGTGCAGTTTATGTAAGGTAGCCTGTTCCACTGTTGCATGCCCGGCCTCTGCTCAAGGCGTCGCTCGCTCTGCGCAGCATCTTCCTTGGCCAGCGCCTGGTACCTGGCGTACCGCCGATGGCAAAACGACACTCCAAAGACCACCTCCTTCATCCTTCAACAACGCATCGCAGGGCACCACTTGCGGAAGGCCAGCGACACCATCGGTCGGAAGGCTTTGCCGCACCATGGGCCGCCGGCTGTGCTTTGATTGGGGCTCAGAGGTCGACTGAGGTCTGAAGCGCAACGTAAGAGTCTTGAAAAACTGGAAGAGGCGAGGCTGCGATCCCTGCGTCTATAGGGGCACCCTTGCTGCGGCTGCGTGCGTCGGCGTGCGCGCGCGCTCTCCATGCGCGTGGCCCTGGGCCGAGAAGCGGCCACCCCGCATTCCGCCGCGCTCCGGGAGCGGCGCCCGCCACGGCCGTGAGCACCGGCGAGGGGTCGCTGTCCCCGACCTCCGAGACGACCTCCGAACGGAGCCCGGCCGGTGGAGTTGCGAGAGTCTGATCAACACGTGAGATCTTCACAAGAACAAGCGGGTTCAAGACTTCGCTCTTTATTCTCACCTTCAGGTAGAAGCGGTATGGCAAGGCCGGTGTCAGGCCCGTGAACGTGTACTGCGACGTGGCCCCCGAGCTCACGTAGACCTGATCAGAGACATCACCTCCATTCTGGGAAACCGCCAACAAGTTTTATTCAATGGCCGCCTCTGTGTAGGGGCCACTTAAGCCGTCGTCGTAATACAGCTTGTACCTTTCGCAGAAGTTGCAGCAGCCTTCGTGCTGCCAGCTTGAGAGGAGTTTTGACATTGTTGCAACTCGCTCCGCAGGAATGCAAGACCTGCAACCCCGCATGGGACTGGGGCACCCATAGAGCACTGCTTCGTTCAAGCCATTTGGAGCGAACCTGGACATCTGGAGCTGACAGCGAGGCGCTAGCCATCGATGCTTCAGTCGAGGTTTGGCTGTGAGGCCGGGGTCTCGACGAGATCGTCATGGTGTTGGTGGTGCCACTCACCTGGCAGGCTACCGCTGCATCCCAGGAAACACAGCAACCTTCGGGTCAGCCTTGGCAGGGATCGCAGGTGTTCCGGGCTTGGCAGAGCAGCGCCATCGGAACGAGTTGGACGGAGTGCCGATGCCCGCTCCGTTGAGAGCCGACACCTGCCAAGAGTCAAGCAAGAAGGGGTTCAGACTTTCAGAAACCTCTCCAAGCAGCCGGCCCTCAAGTACACGTAGGTTTGCGACACCTCAGACAATTTTGCTTCGAGGCCCTCCTCTCTCCCCCGTCCTCGCCCCGTCTCCGTGGGCCCCCGGCATCGGAGCCTCCCCACTTGAAGGTATCTGTGCCTCGGCGCAAGATGCTCTCCCAAGTGCAGCACGGGCTCATTGCAAGGCTCCGTAGGCGGGTGGCAGTCGACGGTTTGAGTCGTCGTGGTGGGGGTGATGATCGTGTACCTGGACCCGCACAAACCAGAGGCGCGCGTGCTTCGAATGGTCTGCGATGGCTCTCGGGGCGCTGTGGACTGTCCAGCGCCGACCAAGTGGCCCCGTCCTGCCCACAAGGCCCCCAAAACAGTGCGCTTCAGATGCCTACATCCCCGCCTTGGAGGTGAAGACGTGCCAGCGGGTGATGGCCGAGCCGCCATCCGACGCACCTCAGTTGCATCACGTTTCTGCGAGAGAGACTCAGCTTTTGCCAGCTTCTTAGTCTTGACCGGTACTCAGGTCTATTCCTGCCACCCAGGTCAAGTCAATGTCGCTGTTGGTGGAGCTTGCCACACTCACCGTCGGTGCATCGGGGACAGCCTGCAGATGTGTCGCAAATGCCGCGGCCGCGCGGCGAAGCCCGAGAGCGCCGAGAGCGGGGCGGCTGAGACGTAGGTGGCCACCGGCGAGGAAGCGCTTGTGCCGACTTCGGAGACGACCTGCCAAGAAGTGCTTGCGGCCTCTGCTGCCTCTGCAAAAAGATCGTGGGTCGATGAGTCGGGTCGGGTGCCTCCACCTTGAAGCGATAGTTCAACCCGGCGTTCAATCCCGACCTTGGGACTCGCATCTCTAAAAAGGTGGCCGCGGTGGCCGTGGCCTCGCCGTGGCTTTGGGCGGGCCCCGCACTTCGTGAAGGTCCTCTGCGTGGTGTCGGTCACGAGGTCCATGGACCATGGCCCACCGTTGCCGTCGTCCGTGTAGATCTGAGTCGCACCAAGTGGCACCAGTGGATGGCAGCATCTAGCACTACAAACGTCCCTGCGACGACAGTATTGGCCCTTTCGGGGGCCTTGAAGCCCGTCAGGAACGCCCCGCTCAGTCCTCAGCCCGCGAGGCACCCTCCTGTCTTCTCTCTTCTCTCGGACTCTCGTGCTCGGCGATTTAGGTCAGCGGATCAGCTCCCCGTGGGGCCGGCGCCGTTGGTGTCGAAGCTGAGCGTGATGGAGTTCGCCGTGGAGGAGACCTGCGGCTCTCTGGACTCTGTGAGCAGAGCCTCCGTAGCTTTTCGGAGCGGCTCCCTGTTAACCCTGTTACCGTTACCGCGCTGCTGCTGCCCACTCTGCACTCTGCCGGCTCGGCACCAGCCCCGGAGCCGCTGGGGTGCCCGGGATCTGAGAGAAGGCGAGGGCCGCCATCGAAACTACGGCCAAATCATAGCTCTTCTTCTGGGACGGGGACGGCAGAGCAGCGCTGCTGCAGAGGGGTGGAGAAGGCGCCCTCCCCGGCGTTGCTCACGGCGGACATGATGATCCAGATGTACCTTGACAAGACAAGTCAGCGTAGGGCGTAGCTGGGCCCAAGAGGCTCTGAGTCTCAACCTGAGAAGCACACTGCTGACTCCAATCTGCAGCGGCAAAGTTTGTACAGTCGAAGGAGTAGCTCGTAAAGGCCGCAGCCAAGGTGGCCTCGGCGCGAGCCAAGGAGTCGGGTGCGGAAGCGGAAGCGTCAGAGAGCCGGAGCTTCGGAGGAGCCGGCCGTAGGGATGTTGGGATTGATCGGATACGCGACGCCGTCGATGGAGATGTAGGCTCGCCATTCCGTAATGGGCGACCCACCTCACAACTCAACTGCGGCTGCCCAAGTTCATGCTACACTGCCTCATTATCTACATATATATATATATATATGTATATATATATATATACAGATACATGCATGTGTATGTATATAATGTATTTTGTAAAAGAGAGAGAGACAGAGAGAAGGTGAAATGACGGCTCCGCAGAAGCTGAACTCCTGAGACCGCGCTCTTCATGTGATTTGAAGCGCAGAAATCCAGATCGGAGGAACACCGTCTACTGGGAGGAAGCCGTCGCGTGGTGCCTGTCGAGCCCGACAGCACTGCGGAATACTCCAGCGTGGTATCCGACGTCGAGACCTCGGCACCGCCGAAAGCGTGAGAACGGTAGAGTGAATCTCTCGTTTCCCCTGCAATCGCCGCTTTCCGTTCCTTCAACGCTGGGCGCCTTGCGATCGAGACTACGGGAGCATCCGGCACGGAGGCCGCCACCACGGACCTCGCAGAAGTTTAGACAGAAAGGCAACCATAGGCAAGAAGGGAAGGGAAGCTTAGCGGCTTAGCTGCTTAGCTTAGCTGAGGTTGGGACAAGGCCGTGGATTCCGTGCTCGTCCCGGTTTCCGAAACCGTCTGGATGCGGAACCTTGCCAAACGGGGCCATGCCTCCGATTCCCTACAGTTCGGAAAGGAGTCCAGGCCTATACGTCAAGCCTGCAGACAGCCCCGTCAGCGTGTACTGCACCTCGTCGGTCCGTATACTGCTCCGTTGGTGTTCTGCTGCTGTCGTCTGGGTCTGGCCTGCAACGTGTCCGTGAGCGAGACGGTCGTGTAGGGTCCGGCCGCACCATCGTCGTACTGCACCTCCGACACACGTAGAAGAGCAACAGTAACTTGCAACACATTGCAACGATCCCCAATTCGAACACAAACATGTCTACAACTGCTCGCGAAGCGTTGAAACACTGGACCGTGGTTGAAGCAATTCTTGGCCAAGCGATTGCAGGTGGGCCTGGGTTCCCAGGTGCAGAGACTGGGCCAAGTCCGTGCTTGTCGGCACCGTCCTTGCAGTAAATGAAGAATTCGATGCAAGGCACGCGCGACTTTCTGAGAACCACAGTCATTCTACAAGGACCGGACCAGGCGATGGTGATGTTTTCAGCGTTGGAAGTCACCAGTGTGGGCGCGGCCGGAGTGGCCGGCGGCGGTGAGCATCGGTATTGCAGCGTGTCCTCGGAGACGAGCTCAGCAAAACGCACGGATCTGCGTAGCCAGGAGAAGCTTAGGGGCCCAGCAGAGAGGGCTCCGGTTCCGGCCTGGCTGTAGGCAGCGACCCTCACCTTAGGTCATTTTTCGCTGCACTCCGATAGGCTTCCCACACCTGAGGCTATTGCATAGAGCATCATATTGCTGGCCGACCAGTTCCCACAACCGAGGTAAAACCTCAGGATCAGATCAGACCCGACAAGACACTATCAGATCTTCCTAACCCTACTTTTGCATGTGTATCTGGGTGTGTGTATGCACATGCATCATGTACATACGTGTGTGGATACGACTGAGTATACGTATACATACACATGTGTATGTACATGCGTAGACGTTGTATGTATGTATGCATGCATGCATGTGGGTATGTGTGTATGTATGCGTGCAAATGTCCGTGCATGCTTGTGTATTGCAGTATATTGTAGAAAAATACAGTATCTTATTGTGTAATACATGTTATATATTGTCAGCCAGATTTCAGACACTACATACTGCATGTTATACAGTGGATATCTCATGTGTAGAAAACCTATATGTCTTTATGCCATATCATAGAACAACCGTAACAGTGTATTTTATACACTGTCCATTATATGCTATATGCCTCCCCACATACTGTGTTATACACGTGTGCAGATATACATGCATGCATGCATGAATGCAGGTCAATGCTATCATCTGTTGGTTGGACATGGATGCGCGTCATGCAGACATCTACATTAACATTGTGTAAGTACCTGTAGGCACGTGTGCATGTATGTGTGTTGGTAGAATATAGACAGATATTATACAGAGAGACACTGAGAGAGAGAGAGAGAGAGAGAGAGAGAGAGAGAGAGAGAGAGAGAGACAGAGAGAGAGAGAGAGAGAGAGAGAGACAGAGAGATGTTGACGAAAGCATGTCTACGTATGCATTTAACCGTATCTGCGTTTATACCTGCATTGCACGCATGCACGCATACAATGTGTGCAAAGCAGCATGCATGTGCGTCAGCATAAATATGTGTGCATGTAGATCGAAAGCTGTTTTTTGCATGTGACTGTATGTACCTGTGTGTTTAGGCGTCCGTATGTCTATGTATGTGTGTGCGCGCGTAGATTCTATCTGTATGTGCATGCGTATTCCTACCTCCATGTCAATGTGTGTGCATGTGTGTTTGCACATAGCTACGCAGGGAGAGAGACTCACATATGTCTGTGTATGTCTGTAGTTACATAAAACTATATATGTATATACAACAGACACATGCATTGTCTTCATACCCAAAACACAAAGCAAAACACGGAGTCTGCTCCGAGCCCCTGGCTCCCGGTTGTTTACATCCGCGATCCCGTCGTCAGGGTTCGAAACATCGGGCCAAGTTTCTCCATCGCTGGACACGTAGATGTACCAGCCTGTGATCTCCGATCTCAGCAAACTAAACTGCAATCCTCCTGCATTCTGCGACAGAGTGCACGCGTGGCTGGCCTTCGATGACAGCTCCGCCATTGGATCCAGGGAACCTTGCGCTGCTGGAAATGTAGCGAGCAGGAACCCAGGAAGGGCAATGCAGTGGCGCTGTGCGACATGCCTTTTTCGGCCATCCCGGATGGCGCGCCGGAATGTCGCAACTACTTGGCGCTGACCAGGTCGCTGAAAGCGCCGTGTCCACGGACTTGATAGGTTTCGGAGGGGTAGTGACATTAATGACACTAGTAATGGTGATGATCATGTCAATATATTTCTGTATTCTACGTATGCTTTTTGATATCTTTGTATGTACACATACATACATATACATACATACTTTTTGATTTTTTCGCCTATAGCAAGCTAAGCTCGGTTGCCAGTGGACCCGGCGAGCCTGGGATTTGTTGCTCATCCCTTTGAAGGCTGTGCCGCGAAAATCGGTAAATCGTGCGAAGATCTAAAGAGAATCGGACGAGGCTTTCGGCATCATCCTCTTATTCTGTGGGGTTCAGGAAGTCTGAGGGCTTGCGTGGGGGGCTTCCTACAGGCAAGCTTGCCCTTCGAAAGTCCTCGAGAGTCGTGTCATCAGTCACACTTGCCGCCGCGCTCGAGGTTCGCAATCTGCCGAGTGTGACCCCATCCATCCCCAACCCCAAACCTTAAACCCTAATCCCGTTCCTTCCATTGGTAACCCCTTGGGAACACGTGAGCCTCGAAGCTGATGGTCTCGTTGCCGCCTGGCTTTGAGCAATTGTCAGCTGCAAATCCAGAGGGTCTGCAGAGTACAGTTCACTCACATGTCCTGGACAATCAAGAGTCGAGGCCTTGAGGGATGTTGGCACACTTGCCGATGTTGTCTTTGAAGTTCGTCACCAGCTGCAAGCGAAGGAACCGTGAGGCTGAGAGATAAGGAAGCGGATCGCTAGCCGCTAGAACGCCTCCGGGTCGAAGATTGCGGCATAGTACTTGTGCCTCTTTCGGATTTGGGCGCCCCCCAAACCCCAAGGGCCCAACCCCGTGCCGGAAAGAGTGCTCAGCCAGCGGCTTGCCCGGCCCGCCTCCGGCCTGAGGACAAGGCAGAGATGACACGGATCAGAGACAAGGAGACAGTGCCCAGAGTCCCAGAGTGCCCGGCAGTCATTGGCTCGAAGTTGCCGTTGCCAGAAGCATGGACGAAGGCCCTGCCAGAGGGCCAAGACAGATCAAACTCCGCCCGAAAGCCTCTCAGTCTCCTCCCCCCATTCTTCAGGCCCGGGCTTCCCTGCGCCGCACGGCGCATCCGGGTCGTACCTCACGTACAGGGAGAGTTATACAGCAGGTGATAATTACTTAAGTAGATGTTTCTGTCTGGCTTTTGCATATTCGACCTCTACGAGTATGTAATGCCCAGCGAGTACAAAACGATGCTTCTGACCGCCGGCTTTTCTGGGCCGCAGACACAATGACGCCCTTCTTCGTGGGCATGGTCTTGCCTCTGACGAGCCGTGGGTGACGAGAGATTCGGGGCCGCCGTTCAGCCGTTCCCGGCCTACTTGAGCATTGTCGATCTCATAGCAGACGCCCTGAGCGGACGAAGCCATGGATGGAGCACCCCCGCGAAGGCGAGAGCAGAGCGCCGCTCAACGCCCCCCCTTGGCCGCAAGCATCCTGGCTGAAGACGGGTCCGATGTCTCTGGCTTTCCCTCAGATCTCATAATCTCACGCTGCGTTTAGGAAAACATGTGTCCAGTGAGGCCGTGAACGCTTAGCCTCCGGCCCACCATCGCCTGAAGCTCGCAGGCAGAAACTGTCATTTGGGTGTGCACAGTGCCGCGTGAGTGGTAGTGCTGGGTCTGCCAGGCAGGCTTCGCAGTGTCTGCCAGGTAGATGCAAGTAGCTACCCCGAAATACAAGTAAGGATTGATGTCGCACTCCTTCACCTCGAACCCAGAATCCAAATCAAACCGAAATTCTGACATCTTCGAACATCACTGAATCGATCTTGTGCAACCTTCGAATCTCACTGAGTGAAGCAAACCGATAAGCGATCTGATCCCTCCCTTTAGCGCCTGCTGCGCTTGCGGAGTGCTCATATCGCCCCTGAAGGGCATCCTCTTCGGTGCCACGTCCTTCGAGGGTGTAAGACACTTGGAGCTGGGGTTAGCTTATAGGGCCTTACGGTGGTGTCCACAATAGACCGAGGCGTGCAAGCATGGGTAGCTGGGCGTTGGCGGCTTTAGCACACACAAACACGCACGTGCATGGGCGCTTGTCAATAAACGGCTCTCACGACTCTCCGCGGCCCCACTGGCTACGCACGACCGCTCAGGACTCGCTTCGGAGTTTATATCTGTCGCTGGGCCCCCGACGCCGAAGACATCGGCAGAGGCGCTCTGCGCAAAGCCGCCTAGACCTGGTCGGGGTTTACAGCATATCGAACGGGACGTCTGAAGACTGTGAACAGACATGGCATCGGTGAGTGTGATGTGCCTGCGAGGCCAGATGCCATCAGCATCTGCCGCCGGTTCGTCGCAGCCTCGGGCCTTGGCGATCCGACTGCCGCTTCATGGACTGCGACGGGGCAGTATGTGGACTATACTGAATGAAAGAAATTCGGCCCCAAACGCCTCTGTGAGTTTCGAAGGATGCTCTACTTCTCGGGAGCTGCCGCCGGGAGCTCGAAGAATCGGGCCCACGCGCTCGGACTCGGCTGGGGCACGGGCTGCCTGCCGACCGCCGACAGGAAGGCATTCTGCGCCAGGCTGCACCCGACCTCCGAAGAAGCGACAGCGAAGTGAAAGCACAAGCGAGCAGTCAGGGCAGTGGGGCTCTGGCGACTCCGGCGAATGCCAGGAGCGCCAAGCTCAGGAGACCGCCTCTCAGCGACGGCGAAGCGGCTTAGTCTTTGGAGCCGCTGCGGATCCCTGGGCCTCGTCGTGCCATCGGGCGGCAGGCGGGTCCGCAAGGCGGTTTGGGCCGGAGAACGCAACTGTGCGGACGACGCTGGAGCAAATCCAAGAGAGCTGAGCCTGAACCCCTGCAAAACTTCATCACCTCGCATGCTCACGTGCAGCGTTGCAGCGCAAGGCTGAGCTGCGCACTCCCAAGTGAAGGTGATGCTGTTGCTTGTTGACCTGGGTCACACGCATGCATCGCTTGACTTCACTTCCAATGCTATGCTCCTCGAGATGTTAAGATCCCTCAGATCCTGCCTTAATCCATAAATAACCCTCCAAAGCCTCAAGAACCACCAGAGTCATCGTTTCGTAACCCGAAACCCCAGAACCTGGTCCAAGCCCCTGAAGACCCCAAGCATGAAGAACTCTCAGACCCTCAGGACCCTCAACCCTACAGCTCCCCCCTGAAAATTTGCTTCCTGCTCTTCTCCGCCCCCTCCCATCGCGGCACTCGGCCCCCGACGAGAGAACGTAGACTGGCGCCTGAGACAAAGAAATCACAACGAAGGCTTCCTGTGGATCTCTATCTCTAGGGATGGGAAGGACTTTGAACCTGAGATGTATAGCGCTACAGGCTGCAGGCTGATTCCGGGACAAGCTTCAACGGGGATTGAGACAGCACGAAGATGGGTGGACTTGGCTACTCTAGGTGGCCGGGGTGCCGAAGACTCTCCCTGCCTCTCAAACCTCTTAAAAACCATGCACTCTCCTCGTGGAGCGGAAATACCACGAGGACTGCTCCGACAGCTTAGACTGAAGTGGAGCTACGCAGCGCCCACTGCTCCAGTGGGCAGGTTCCCCCAAATAGAATAATCATATCATGCGTACTATTTTTGTCATGATGCTCATGCCTAACATTCTCACTAGTATCAGCGCTGTTGCTATTCCCATAGATTACTATTGTATCGATTGCCATTATTGGTTACCATTAAGTGATAGCAATATTTTGCTTGTTGCGATTATCATTATTGTAATGGCCTTTATCAGTATCATGATTATTACAAGAACCATGACTACTGTTATTGCTATTACCATTGTATATATATATATATATATATATATGTATATATATGTATGGTGCTACTTATTGCCTTATTCTGATTATACTCCTCATTCGTGTCCCTCTGAGGCCCTTGCAGGAGCATCCGGCGGCGAGGCTGCAACGACGGGGCCGCCAACGTCCGACTCGGCGCTGCAGTGCGCCTGGAGACGTCATCGAAGTTGAAGCACGTGGCATCAGACATATGCGTACGGTACTTGCATGAAAGAATGTATATGCTATATACAACGCATTTACATGTCCATATACGCATGTATTGATATACACACAGACCCCTAAATCAAGTGTTTGTCGCGGCTGTGGATATCTGAAAGTTGCAAGGATGTCATTTGATGTAAGGTAAGGTCATGTGAGGTAAGCAAATGCAATGTATTGCAATGCACGTCAGGCCGTCTCAAGTCACCATGCCATGTCAGGTTGGGCAGGGAGGGGCGGGGTGGGGCAGGGCAAGGCAGAGTAGTGCAGAACAGGTACACCTAAGGCAAGGCAACTAAGGTCAGGTAAAGCAGCAGCGCATGTATGTGTATTCGATTGTATGTGTATATTTGTATACAGGATGCTGTATGAGTTCATATGCGACCATATGATGAATATGTCTTTCTACTGGCACTTTGTTGCGTGATCCGAAGCCTTCCGTCCCTCAGGTCCGGGCGACTGAGCAGAGCTTCAGCTTCGCACGGTAGTAGTGCCCGGTGGTGATGCCCGTGGTGATGGTGTAGGACAGAATCGTCCTCAGCGGCCCTACTTGTCCCTGTGATGCATCTACTACTGCGTCCGTCGGATGCATCAAAAACCTCTTGTAAAGGCGCATGTCATATCTGCCTCGTTCGTTTACATATGGATGCATTGTTGTGTTGATTTGCAGAAGTACACTATGCATGTGCATGCTTCGCTACGAGCTGAGTTCGGAGCCTTGCAAAATCTAATGACCGATGACTAAGGAGGCATTCCAGTATACCCCGCTACCGCGCGGGTTGGATGCCCCCCCCAGAGAAGGACTGAGCAAAGGGCGTGTCCGCTACCTCCAGTTCGTCGTAGATGTTGTCCGCATCATTGACATCATCCACCTCGATGCTTTTGCATCGCGAACTCAGATATGGGGTTGTTTAGGGTCACGGGTTTCGAGTGAGCCCGAGGCTTCAGGTTTCAGGGGTAAAGAGAAACCTGAAACAATAGCATAAAAGAACCGTTCTGACTCCACCTTGATGGGTGGATGTACCACTGGACCTCTGAGCGCCGTGGCCAGAATGCGCCACCCGGTGTGCTGCGCGTTCTGGAGCTGTCCGGCTGTCGGCTGATACCTGAGGACCGAGACTCCTGACCCGAAAAGCCCGTTGCAGCCTTCAAGCCCTAGCCCCAAATTCCTAAAGGCTGAAAGCCCTGAAGCCACTTCAAGATATCCTAAAGCAGCCCAATAAAGTTCGTTAGAGCCGGCTTCCAAGGCACAGAGCAATCGTCAAGGAGGAGGCCGTGCTCGTCAGGGCAGGTGCCTTCAGCTGCCACCAAAGAGGTACAATCAGGTACAAAGCACCATGGTGTCCCCCCCCCTCCCCCTCCCCCTCCCCCCTCCCCAAAACCGCGCCGTCGGCGTGTCGGGAGGCGGAACGCAGTAGAGACCCACTGGGTCGGAATCGGCCTTGGTGGAATCTCCGCGCATGAGAAACCGCCATTCAGCAGAGCGCTGGGTCTCCGACACCCTCACCGGTACCAACACCGTTAACAGCTGACACTTTGAAGAAGAACCTTCCACGACGAGTGATGGAGAGTGCCCTGCAATTCCGATGCACTCAAGCGTGCCGGCATCACAGCTGACTGGCACCGCAGGTGTAGGTGAACGTGAACACCGAGGCATCTGCCGTGCTGCCTGCGAGTTCCGTAGATTACATCAACGTGCTACCTTGACTGCCTGTAGGCTGTGCTTTGCCTGCAGTGGTGTAGGTGCTGCCACCGTCCGAGGAGACTTTCACGTTGTATCTGAGGACCACTCACTTTGGAGTCCTTTATGTCTCGGCAAAAGCGCCCTCTAAGCCGATGGCTGTGTCAGAGGCACGCCCCCGTTGTCCTGAAGCTACAATGTCACAAGCAAAGGCTTCCAGCTACAAGTGTAGTGCTCTGCGGTGCTCTGTTGGCCGTCTCTGGCCCTCCAAACTTGTGGAGTGCTCGGCTCGGGAACTACGCGGTCCTTGCCCACGTAGTCCCAGCCCAAGGTCAGCTGCGCCCCGGTGGACGAGACCATGAAGGGCGCCGACGGGGCCTAGCCGTGGCGTACGCAGCATCGATAGATAGGTAGATAGACAGATAGATACAAATATACTCTCTTTGCACAGACGTGTAGCATGGCATATGTATATGACTACCTGTTACATATACTACGTAGTTAGTGAGTGTTTGCAACCAACCAATACGTGTATATTGCTCACAGGGATGCACAAAATACTGCTATGCTCAAAAGAAGTCCGAACTCTCCACAAAATGCTCAAAGCAAACAAAACAAAAACGCGGAGACTCTGGCAGCTTCTGTATGGTTCGGCCGGGGGCCGAATTTCCCACAGATTTTGCAAATGTGAAGAGCATTTCACTGTTATTGTAGCAAAGGAACCAACAAGCTTCCAAATAGGAGTGAGTAGCGCATTTATGTAGTTGTATCCTCCAGTCCTCATCGTAGTCGTAGTTATCGCGTTTTTATCACACAACCAAGGTTAAGCCTTGTGGGCTCAAATGCCCAATTTTCGCAGTAGCGGCATTTGCTTGAACTGTGAAAATGACCACACAACGGCTCAAGCCCGACAGTCAGTTGGTGTGTGAAGCCCTTGTAACACCAACAACAGGCATTCACTTCAGAACTCAATAGGGTAGTCACATAACATGATTTAACGATGTTTCGGATACACTGGCAACGTCGCCCCGACCTCTTGTTCTTACACTTGCTCCAAAAGTCTCCGGCTCTTTGCTTGGGCTCATGAGGAGTGCTATGACTACGAGCTCTAAATTTGTTTCCGGAACCCTCCGTCATTTGAGAAACGGTGGCACTGCGGCAACTATGAGTAAACCCACAATAACCATTATAACGTCGCTTTCTTTTGCAGGTGCTTGTTAGTGTCTGTGTCTTGTGTTGACGATGTAACCTTCATGGATATTCAGAAGCAGGTCCTACACCCTGAGCAACCGATAGAGTTCCGGATTCTGCTGACTCTTCAAAACGTTTCATGTCGTGCCTTCTGCAATCGCTCTTTATGTTCATACAATACTGGACAAGGTTTATATCTGGAGTTATCGGGTAATACAAGAACGTTTACATCTAAGTGGGGCATCATCCCAGTTCACAATTCATCTGCCTGATGCAGTCCAACTAGAAGACAACATGTTGCGGGTGTTTTTGCCAAATACTGCACAAAAACCACTCTGCAAAGTGGATGGTGGCGAGCCTCTGGCAGGCCTCCGATCACCAGATCCAGCCTGAAAAGGAAGGCAGAGGGACTTAGGGTGAGTATGAGTGTGAAGACAGGACTGAGCAGTAGAATCGCTGCTTCCATGGGCCGATCTTTCTTAGGTTCGAAGATTGATGATGCACACGAGTTCATGCCGCTGACCGCGAAGCTGCAGGTCCGGTCAGTTCCTCAAGGCCTCGAAGAGTAGGCACCGCATTCGTTGATGTTGCAGGCGCGCACCTCGCATTTGACCCATGTTCCTCGTCTCTCTCTCGCTCTTTCTCCCTGTCCGGGAAAGAGCGCGCCTCGAAGCGGATGGTGTTCCCCGTCGTGAGCGGACCAGGAGGGCTCACCTTCCGAAAGGGCGACTGTACGAAGAGCAAAATTCACAGCAAGGCGCTTTCAGCGGATTCATCGGGGCCTCCTTGAAGCCCGGTGACGTGGTGAGCATCTGTGTGGCTGACATGGTGGTCTGGTCGTTCCAGAGCACCTGTGACACGATGCACAGTGGCGGTCCTGATCTGATGCCGTTGAGGTTTATTTCACGCCTCATAGCGCGTGATGGGCGACTCGTCATTGTGCACGGCAGTTGGGACATCCCAGACCACCTGACAGCTCAACACAGAAACCAGGAAGCCCAGAAGGCCAGGAGACTGCGTCACACTGCGTCACACTGCGTGTCACTGCGTGTCTGTGAAGGCCTTGACGGAGGTGGTCGTCGAGGACAGGTACCTTTTGAACAGGTGCACGCGGCACCGTGCAGCACTAGCCATCGCGCAGGCAGCGGCCCCGAAGCGGAGCCGGAGCCCGGAGCCGCCCGGCCTCAGGTTGCGCGGCACGCCCGGGGCCTGCAGGGAGCTTCGTCGAGCTTCTTTGCCCTTTTTCTTCCTGTGCCCTCTCTGCGTCAGCGCTCTCGGAGAGTCGTGCCTCGGAGGCCGCGAAGGACATGATCCCGCTGAGGGGTCCCCAGCCTGAGCGGCATTGGAGCTGGAGGCCGCACGTGCGTGCCGTGTGCGTGCCGTGCGTGCCGCCGTCTTTTTCTTGGGCTGGCGCCGTTGGCGTTGCGAGCCCGGATCTGGGGAGGGAGAGCACAGGAGGAGAGCAGAGAGCAGAGATGAGCGGAGCTGCACGATGCTGCACCTGGAAGCGATAGGTGACGCCTCGGTTTAGGGTGTCCGCCCGGAAGGAGGTGGCCGAGCCGACCTGAGCAAGAAGCGGAGCCCGGGCCTCTCGAAGACTTGAGGCCCCCGGCATAGATGGAGTTCGTGAGACTGCCCCCAACGCCCTGCCCGTTGTCGGAGAAGATCTGGTACCTGGGAGAAGGCGCTGAGATGCAAGCTGCACCAGCCAATTTTTGTTCATAAACCCTAGAGACCTTCAACCCAACAAGCTTTACAAGCTTTATATATAAGTTCTATATGCACCAAACGCTCTAACCATCAAGGGCCCGTCTGTGGCTCCCCGGCTCCAAAACCGGCAGCCCGGTGAGCCGCCGCCTGGGGGCCACGGCCGCAGCCTCGGCGGGGAACCAGCTCTTCTAGATGCTGTCTCCTGATTTGTGTATGTGTTTTTTCCTTTTTTTCTGTCCGATGATAGGCTGGGTACTATATACTGGACTGTCTGAGCACCAAGAAAGGCCTGCAGCGCCTGCTGAGGCCCCCGACGAGGCGCCGTGCACCCGAAGGCGAGCCCCAGGAAAGCTGGCGTGTGAAGGCGCGGGGCATGAGGGGCTCCGGAGAACTCTTGCCTCTCTCTGCCTATATTATAATAAGTTCTTTGCGTTTACAGAATATCCATGTACATGTGAATTTATATGTAGGGAGAGAGAGAGAGAGAGAGAGAGATTCAGATGATGCTATACAGACAGGTCATGTGCACATGTGCCTGTCCATCTGTCTATCTGTCTATGTGTCCGGCTCTACAAGCTTGTGCAAGCAGAAGGTCCTGGACACTCCTGGGAAACTACTATAAACTATTTGGGGCGCCTCGATGACCGTCTGCTGCGCGGAGACCAGCGTGAAGGGGTTCGAGGGAAAGGTCGGCGCATCTCCGGCCTAAAGCGGGGAGTTTTCTCGGGGCCTTTCAGGCTTACGGCTTGCAATTTATAGCGGTTTAGACGGCTGTTTAGAGGGCTTGGGGTTCAGAGTTCAGGCTTCAGGGCTTGGTTTTTGTTGAGGGCGGAGGGACATCGTGGGTCTTGTATCTTCGAGCTTTCAGGACGATTCAGGACTTTGGGGGTCTGTCCTGAAAAAGCTCCGAAAGATGGGCTGTAAATTTCGGAGCTGTCTCTGCAGGGTATGGGATTTTCAAGGCTTGGGGAAGAGGACGTCCAGGCTGTTGGATCAGGAAACCAGAGCCGCTCGGATATCAGGCGCGCACGACCACCTCGAGGCCGCCATCGGGGAAGCCAACCTAAGCTGAGTCTGGCATGAGATCGCAACTGCAATACGTTGTATGGAGTTGCGAGCTCCTGTCATGTTGTAGGAGGCATTCATAGACAGTAGTACAGTAGCACAGAAAGAGCACTGGGTCCCGCCGCATCACAGTTGTCCACCTGGCAAACGTAGACCTCAGTCGAGAAGCGAAGGAGACGCACCGTACATCGGGACATCGTCCTCGTTTTGTTCTCGGCCGCAAGACGTGTCTCTGAGCGCGTGAGACGTTGTAAGGCTGCCGAGCCAAAGCCCAAGCTCTCTGTGAGCTGCATGGCCCTGGCCCTGGCCGTGTCGGCGCCCTCATGGCAACGAGTGCCGCTTCCTAGTCAGAGTCGGAGGAGTCGGAGGAGGCCGCTGGAGAGGTCCGGTCAGGGGAGGCCTCCTTGAGACTCAAGCGTCCGAGAGCTCGGAGAGTGCTTTGGGAAGGGGCGGGGCGCGCCAGGATCCAGAGCAAAGGCCGCAGTCTGTCAGGGCATCGCCACCGCTCTCCATGCAGACGACCTCGCATCCTTCACTGCCACACTCCATCAACCGGACGCACTTGTTGGGAACGTCGAGGTCGGCAGAGCTGGTGCCTTGAATGCTGGCAACGGCCTGCCATTCTGCTCCAGGTTCCACCTGCACCCAGGCGGCATACTGCGCCGAGCGGCGCACGGAGTTGCCTTCAAAGCTCAAGCAGTCGATTCCATACGGGAGCCATCACAATGTTCTTTCTTCCCTTCTTTCTGGCGGTCCTTTTCCCTATGCAACGCAGTCATCAGGAAACATCACGTCCTCATTGACACATCTCGCATGACATGCCGTAGACAGTTGATGCTGCAAGTCACCACGTGCACTTTGATCACAGCATGTCGTCGGTGAACTAGTTTTGCTCACAACCATGGTTTGATCCATCTGGGAAGTGCACTCACATGGGCACGATCGTAACACCAAGCAGTTTGCCACAATGACTCAGCAAGCTTTTGATGCACATGGTGATTTGAAATTTGGACAACCAGTGTGTCCAAAATGTCAAATCGAATTTTTAAGTGGACAATCTCACATGGACATTGAACGCCCCAGATGCAAGAGAAAACAGTCAGTAAGCTCCTGAAATCTGTGGCCCTTCGCGCACCAGCCAGATTATGATCATGCACTTCACGGATTTGTCGTTACCCCACTCTGCAGACGATAGACTATGTCTATGTACATGCAGTTGCGCGCATGTCGCGGAGCGCGTGGCATCCACTGTTTCACCGAGTCCGTCATCGGGCCGTTCACGAGCAGATCGCTTGCGCGTGCGAAACGGCAAGGGCATGCCAACACCTCTCCCTCCCTCATTCCCTCCCTTCTGTCTTCTCAGAACTGTTTGACGGGACGGCCACGGTCCAAAACAGAAGCCCACAAACGAAAAGCCTTACATGCCTTACTTTCTTCTTCTGCCGTGGAGCCGGTGAAGTCCTCGATGAAACTGTAAAGACCCCAGAGCTTCCCTCGATCCTCTTCGGGCTCCGGTCGAAGGTGCCTTGCAAACTCCACCCAGCCCTCCTGCGGCTTGTGGAGGTGGCAGCTCACCTCCGATCCCGACTCCACGGCCCTGGACCGGATCACGAAGAGGTAGGCCTCAAGAACAACAACAAAGATTCTCCTTTTACGCCTTGCTGGCTCCCGTCCCTTGTTCTTCGCAACAACAACAACAACAAAGACTCTCTTTTTTACCCTTCGGCAAGGCCTCTCCGGCATGCCAGGTTGCCAGAGGGCCCTTGTCGCAGTAGGCGCCCATGCCCATGCCTTCCCCACCGAAGGGCTTGGCATCCACGCCTGCAACGGCCAGACCCTGGCTAGAAGTAGAACTAGAAGTAAACTATCAAAGTGCCTGGCCTGGGGCCGTGACGAGGTTCTCCACGCGCTCCCCGGTTTTTTGGTGGTTCCAAAGGGAGAAGAGGATCATCTGCCTCTGGCCCTCGAGCTGCTGGATGCCACAGTAGCCGCTCTGGAAGCCGCAGGCGCAGTAGTAGGTGCATTCCGCGGGCTCCGGCACCCGAACCTGGCAGGCAAAGGCGTGGACCTTCCCAGGCTCGCTGAGCCAGCGGGTGTGGCAGGCGGGAGCGGGATCCCTCCCAGGCTTAAAGGCGCAGTCCGGCTGGAAGCTCTCGGGAGCCAAGTAGAAGTCAAAGGCCTCGTCCTTCTTCAGGGCACCACGGAGCTCTGCCTGCGTTCGTCGGAAGAAGAAGCACCTCAGAAAACAAACTGAAAGCATCAAACCCGGCATCTTGGGGCTCAAGTCGGATTGGGGCTTTGGGGCTTTTGCTACCTCAGGCTCAGAAATTCAAGGACGGGCACACGGGCGGGTCATCCTCCTCGCCGAATTGATTGAAATGCGGCTTCCTCCAGGCGAAGCCGCCGCAGTCGCTGTCCAGGCAACGCCGGCGGTTTGCGGCGAAATCGGCCTGGCATGGCTTACAGAGGGAATTTACTCCGGCGTCCCTGAAGAAACAGCCTTTGTGTATACTTGTCTACGTAGCTTCCCGATTCTTGGATGGATGGATAAATATGTTCGGCTTTCGGGGCAAAGAGTTTGAGTAGGCCGCAGCCTGTCTGGCGAACGCAAGGAGCTCCCAGTACGCCGGTACGTAAATAAATCGGTGGAGAGAGAGAGAGAGAGAGAGAGAGAGAGAGAGAGAGAGAGAGAGAGAGAGAGAGAGCAAGCATTAATATAATATGCTTGCATGTATATATTATGCACATGGCAGAACACCTCGGAGCGGCAGATGCCGGAGTTGGCCACGGCCTTGAAGGTCACGCTGGAGCTGGGCAGCTTCTCCCAGGGCTCCTCGGGTTTCTTGGGCAAAAGCCGCTGGACGTCGTAGTTCTTCCAGCCCTCCTCCGGCTCCGAGGCCTGGGATCCGTGGAAGCCTCCGAAGGAGCCGGGCTGCGTGCGCAGGAAGTCCTCTAAGTACTCCAAGCCCGTGATGGCCCAGCCGTTCTTCGTGGCCCCAAGCAGCCGCTTCTTCTCGCGGTTCAGGTACACCGGCCGCCCGTTCAGCGAGGCGTCCGTCTGATGGTACGTTCCGGCACATTCGCCGTAGTCCGGCTGGCCCTGCTTCGCCACGAACTCGAAGCCTTCCACGCGAGAGACCTCGTAATTCTCCCAGGTACCATCTTCCGGGTCGCTAGACGAGGCCGAGTGAAAGCCCCCAAAGTTCTTCGCATCCTGCGCGAGGAAAGAGTCGAGCTCAGAGAGCGACCCAATGACCCAATGACCCCCTGCGGTCTTGCCCAAGAATCTCCCCTGCTCTTCGTTGATGTAAACTGGCTTGCCGTTGAGGCATCGCTTCGTGTCCAGCTTGTAGCCCCCCGCACAGTTTCCATAGTTGGCTTTGCCACTCCTCGTGCTGAAGAGGAGCATGGATGGGACCCCAAGTCGCAAGCAAGGCCTGCACCCTGCGGCCCACTTGCAGCAGCTCAGCAGCTTGAGCCCAAAGCAACAAGAACATGAAGCCGCTCATGGTGCGATCAACCCCGCCATCCCTCTGTCGACGCTCCTGAGCGCCTCGCCATGAAGCCATACGTCAGCCCTGCAGCGAGTCCCTGCTGCAAGTGGGTGAGGACCTGAGAAGAGGCTGGTCCGGGGTCCCTCTACTGTAAGAGACAAAAAGCAAGCGTCTTTACAAAAAGGCACGGCATCTGGGCTGCGAAACCGCCGGCCCGCCGTCGTGGACCAGGGAGTAAGGGTTGGCACCCTGTCGCATGTAGACCTCAGCGATATATAGACTTGCTGCACATGCCTCCCACGCCCCAAGGCAAGGTTTCGTGGCCTTGTAGCCCGTAATCAGGGAGCCGGTGCAACCTGATTCGTGGCTGCGATGAGAGTGACAAACCTTTAAATCCAGGCTCGAAGGGAAGCGGAGCGCCCGCGGAGCGCCTGTGTTGGAGGGCGGCACCCAGGTCAGCTTCACAGAGTTCTCCGTGTGATCCGAGGCGGTGAGGCTGTCCACGGGATCCGGCCTAAGAAGCCATGGCCATGGCCCATGGCCCCCCCCTGAACCCCTTATAAACAAACTACAGTTCTACCGGGATCCTGACAGCGCGCAGACCTGCGTCCGGTAGACTGGGCTTGCCTCACAGTCGCCACGATGAGTCAGAAGCGCCCCCCCCCCTTCCACATCCACATCCACCCGCCGTGCGCCTCTGAGAGGCCAATGGCATTTTCCGCATAGACAACGAAGCGGATGAACTTGCCCTCTGGCCTCACAGCCCCCCAAAGCCAGGACTCTGCGCTCATGGCTGGAAGAAAGGTGCGGCGAGGGCACAGCCCATCAATGGTGTCTGAGAACGCGATGCTGCTGTAGGTCCTCCAGGGAATGCTTTGACTCAGACACTCCCTTAAACAGCCCCAGGCCGCCGCCACGGGCCACCCCCTCAGGCATGGGACGGTTGACATGCGGTGGGGTGATCTGCGTCCTGTTGCTTGCGAAGTCAGTGTAATCACCGTCGTCGAAGGACACGATGTATCCTGCCGTAGGAGAGCTGAAAACTGGCCAACCCTACTTCGCGAGAAGCGAGTGTCCTGTCACAGGAGAGCCTCCGTTGTTTGTGGGAGCAGTCCAGGACAGAGCGACGGACCTTGGAGACCCGGATGTCATGCGAACTATGAAGCCTATAGTTTCCTGGTTGGCCGAGAAAAGACTCGGGAACCGACGTAGAAGTGCGATTCACGCTGGCATCGCGCACCAGAGCATTCATCCTGGCGAATTGAAACCGTCACGACCCGCTCCGGCTTCTTCATGTCTTCCCTTCCAGATTGGCAGCCCAAGGGGCTGGGAAGGTTCGGTGCCACCGGCCACCACGGTGATGTCTGACCTGAAGCGTAGCAGCGCAGCAGAGGGGGGGAAGATGCAATCCATGCACACAGCACAGCGGCACAGCGCATCGTCCGACATGTCCAAGGCACTGCAGCGATTCGCCGGCGGAGTTTAGAGCCGTGGCAGCGAAGCGGTACAGCAGGCCGCCTCGGGACCACCCCACGATCCCGCCCGAGTGGCCTTTGCTTGGACGTCCCGGCCTGATAGTCCCGTGACGGTGAAGGACAGAACGTCGGGTTGGCCATAGCCTCAGTGCTGCGTCGACGGTTGGCGCGTTCGCCTTGGGTTGGCGCCTCTTTCGTCTCAAGATCTTGGAGCGGAGCCGTTCCACAGCAAAATGTCGATGGGGTCGTTGGCACCATTGTCCCTGCCGAGAGCCGCGGCATGTGGAGCACACACCATTTACGCAGGTATGCACAAATGTAAACCTGGCCCTGTAGGTTGTGAGTATCTGCCTTCGCGGCACTCTATACATATGGCCGAGCAGCCCTCCCTCCAGCGCCTCAATATTAAGCCCCGAAATCCTGTTCACCGGGCCTGTAAAGCTTGTATCCAAGCACTGGAATACCACCCGAGCTGACAGGCGCGGTCCAGGAGACCTGCAGCCTCGACCAAGAGCTCTTCGAAAGGCTTTCTCTGTAAAGAAAGGGCTTGGGGTGAAGAGGAGACAGAGAGCGAGAGAGAGAGAGAGAGAGAGATAGACAGAGAGTGGGAGAGAGGGAGGGAGAGATTCAGCGTGCTTTTGAGCTCGGTGTCCGGCCCGGTGTTCGTGCGCGTGGAGGCCACCACGGTCGGAGCGCCCGGTGGATCCTTGTGGAAAGAACCACAGCACTTCCTACATCGGAGACACGAAGCCACGAAAGAAGATTCCACACAGAAGCCCTAGAACGGGGCCCTTTCTCTCAAGAGAAGTCTATAAGGGTTACCACAAGGGATCTATAAGGGTACTCTAATGCGGAGTCACGTCAGAGAAGCAGAGCCAAGCCAAGGCTGAGCCAAGTAGCCGGAGCCGCCGCGGCGTAGAAGCCGGCCTGAGAAAGGCTGAAGGCTCCAGCCGCAGGGAGGGGAAAATCTGGTACTCTAGTCCCTATAGGGCTTTATGGTGTATGACAGTCGGGGAGCAGGCTGGTGACATGTCTTTGAATGGTGGATAAAGCTGGAGCATGGCCTCTACATAGTTGGGCACCAGGTCCGTCAGGGCGTTCGTGTCCAGGGCTCGGTTTGCAGCCGCTACCTGACGAGAATAAGAGTCCAAAGGCTCCGTCACAGCTCACGACGCTGTTCAGGGGCTCTTCGAGCCTGGATGAGGTAGTAGTAGCCCAGTGTCAAGCCGGTGACGGTGAAGGTGGTGCTGGTCGGCTCGGCTCCATTTGTGGCATCCACGTAAGTGGTGCCACCCACCCTGGGCCCAGCCGTGCAAGACTATTGGTCTTGCAGATTTCTGATCAAGCAACTCAATCTCGAAGCCAAAGTGGAGATGCTCGCTGCGCGCGCTCTTTTTCTCTGATCACCCAGGGCTTGGCGTCAGGTAAGCCTCGGTGCACGGATCCGGGAGGTCCCATCTACTGAGAAGTCTGTGTGCCGGTGCGTATAACATCCCGCGCGCATGGACCCCCAATGCTGCCCGAACAAGCAGCTCTGCGACTGGCTGGGACCAAAAGCGGAGTGCCAAGGCCCTAAATCCCAAAAAAACTCCACCCAGCTGAGCGAAGTGCTTCGCTTTCGGGGCTCACTGCCCCTAGGACTGTGGCCGACGGCTTGGTCGCCAACTCCTCGCTCCATCACGGTCCCTCTCAAACCTATCGCGGCGCACTGAGACTCTCCCTGCCTCGCCATCGCTGGCATCGCCCTCGCGCTCCGCTGCGGCATAGATGCGCTCTTTGGCGGAGGCAGAGATATCCTCGTGATGCAAAGAAACGCTGGGCTTCACAACCAGAGCCGTCTAACCTCATACACCCTCTAGATCTTATTTTCTGAGTCTGAACTTGCTGGGCTCTTCAACACTCTGAAGCTGGCCCAGCCGGGGTGCTAGAGACATGGTCTTCAGCAGAAGGAGGAGCATCGGCCCAAGGATCGAGGCCAAGGTGACCCAGATCCACAAGGTGGGTCCATCCGCCCGCTCCGGCCAGCCTGAAAAAAGAGATGGCTTTCCAAAATACTCCCTTCTCCTTGCTCGCTGTGCTTCTTAGGCCAGGTCCAGTGCACTCCCGGCAACTGCTTGGGCAGCTTCCCGACTGCGCGGCGGCGGCGCACCTCACGAAGAGGAGAGCGGGGATCTGAGACGCCAGACGGCAAGGCCCAAAACCCCCCACCATCTGCCACAGCTTGGGTCAAGGCAGGGTTCTGTGCGAGGAGCAGGAGAGGGCATCTGGCTGCGTCCGCTTGGGCACTTGCACTGCAAAGCCTATTGAAAGTTGAGTCCTCGGGCCTGGCCCAGTGCCAGTCCCGTTGCAAGGCACCGGAGCGCCCGAAGCCTCGGGATGTGCGCTTGGCTTCGAGCTTGGCGCTTGGGCCCCGCCCTGGGCCTTGCAGTCGTAGCGGCAGAAGGCTCCCGTCCCAGGCTCTCCTTACAATCGCGAAGCGGCAGGGCCGCTGCGGAAGAGCTCCTCTCCGGGACTCCGAGGTGAGGGCGACAGCTCGGGCAGTCCGGGCAATAGTTTGCCAGCAGAACGCCCGAGAGCCAACCCGTGGGCAGGGCGGCCAGGAACCTAAGCAGGGCAGGCAGCGCGGCCGACACAGCGCTGTGGGCTTCTGAGGCTTCTGGCTGCGGAGTAAAAGCGAGGACCATGAAGGCACCCTGCATCTCGACTCTGGACATCTTGCGAAAAAGATGGAAAAACCGCCGGCCTCTTTGCCATCTGGGGAGAGGTTGGCGGAGAACGTGTTGAAGCGGGGGCTCCAGATCACCTCGAAGAGCGACTTACAAAGCAGCAGCCTCATGGTGCGGATCTGACGGGGCCTCCCCGATGCTCATCGTAACCAGCCAGGCGCAGGTGGCACGCACCTCTCAAAAAATGAGCACAAGGACTAAGCACGCTGGCTTTCAGCTGCTTCCCTCCACCGAGGCGGCCACGGAGACCTCGAAGATCATGAAAGCCGGGGACAGAGACATCACGACCTCCAACCCAGCTTTGCGATGCTTCGCTTTCGATGCGGTTTGACTTTCCACGAGTCTCGCCAAGGAGCACTGCCGAAGAGGATGGCAGAAAAGTTCCTGAAGCTCTGCGAGCTCTGACGCTAGACCTCTGCACATCCCCGTTCGGGACAATTTCGAGAGTCCTCCACTTGGCCGTGGCCACGGTAATGAGGGGCGGCAGAAGCGCACACATCCAGTAGTTGATGCTGTTCACAGATCCCCAGGGCACCTGGTTGTGCACAAGGCTCTTATCGACATGCTAACCTTTGAAAGGATATTGCTCAAGTCTGTAAATCCTGTAGCTGCCGAGCCGCATCTTCGCCCAGCTCTCTGACCAAGTACTTGGGCATCGTAGCGTTCCTTGGGGCCCATGTGGGCGCAGAATGTCCCGGGCATTTTCCGGGCAGCTCCGGGTTCCAAAGATGCCAAGCTTCATGTGGTGCCATTGCGCCTTCACGCCTGGCGAGCAAACTGACAGCAGGGACTTCCCCGGCCCACGAATCCAAGAAACAGACATTCGGCCGGCGTGACCCACCAAAGCCGTCGAACACGCCGCGATGAACCACAAACCGCGATCGCTCCTCCGAAGCAGCACAGGTAGATCTACATGCCATACCCCACGCCATGCCCAACCCCCTGTGCAAGTAACACATGTTGCGGAATTCGGTGACGCATCGTTCGGTCTAAGCCTGCTGACGAGGCGCAGCAGGCTCACGGAGTGCGTCCAAGCCACGCGCAGCGGAGAGGCGCCGGCACCTCCGGTGCCTTTGGGGCGTCTTAAGATGGGCCCTTCTTAGAGCCTTTTTTTCGGGTTTTCGGTATCAGGCCTTTGGGTGGTGTAAAAGTGCAAAACAGCATGTCGCGGGCTTCAGGAGCCGTCGGATTGCTGGGCCCCCCTACCCACGACGGTGCGAGGGGAGCCTGCTTCATCCTCGTCCTGGTGGCGCTCATTGGCACAGAAGAAAGCTGCGAACCATTGTATGCCATCTCTTCCATGGAACATCTACATGCAGTGCAATCCCACAGTACTGGAGTGTCCTGGAACTTCTGATGGCTTCTGCAGCAGGACAAAGGCGGCGCCAGCTCGGCTGGTAGGAGGCAGGCCAAGAAGCAGCTAGCCAACAAGGCGCCCTCGGAGAGCAGGAAGCAAGCCCGTGTCGGTGTGGAAAAGCGGCCAAACAGGGCCGAAAAGCCAGAAGGATCCTCGGCGAGCGTGGGCAGTTGCACAAGATCACCAAAGCAGCTGGAACTTCCTCGCTTGTCAAAACCCGGGCAAGATCCTGTCGTTATATTATATCATACATATATATCTATATGCACATATATATATAATATGAACCCATTGTTACTGTATTTTGCAGAGCATATCATGCAAGGAAAGACGCCGTTCAGATTCCGAGGTGCAAAATGCTGCCAGGACCGGAAGGCATCGATGACTAGATCAGCGATGCCGCCGCCTGCAAAGCCCAGAGAAGCCCACAGCCATGGGGGGTGTTTAGGCTTCAAGGGTTGAGGGCTTAAGGCTTCTGGTTTTAGGGTTTAGGGTTTAGGACTTAAGGCTTTTGGTTTTAGGGTTTAAGGGTAGACGGTTTAGGGGTTTTGGTTTTAGGGGCATCTATCGTTTGGAGAGAGGGTTTCTGGCTCCCTGCCAGTCGAGGAGGCCTGCGTTGTGCATAGCATAATTGAGGCTGAAGGCCATTGGCCGTTCCTCCTCACTGGTGAGCCTCTTCAGGGCCACCAAAAACACCTAAGGGCACCAGGGGTTTGCAGTCACCAGCTCACGGCCCGGAAACAGAGAGATTTCCAGTGCGACCGTGTTGCCGGGAGCAGCAGGCCCTCCGCCACCGGCGAAAAGACGAGTAGAGCCAACCTGAGCGTGGGGGATCCACAGGACTCGATTTAGGGGCAATGGGTGTTTATCGAGCGCTTTTTGGGCTGCCGGGCTGGAAGGTGTCCGGGCTTTCTGCCAGCACCAGCATCGCTCGGGTCACGAACATGGCCACCTCTGCGTGTCAAACGCAAGACATGGCTTACGCATCTTGATACCTGAGAGCAGCACCGTGGCAAAGACTGCCATTCTCTTCGAGCCGACCGCATCCTTACGAAGGGCTCCCGTGAAGACAGCTCCACAACTGAATATGGCTTGCTGCATCGTGGCTCCTTCAAACGCCCTGGCTAGACAGCAATAAACCTCTCACGCTTCTCAAGTCGCCACCGTCCAACAGCAGCCAGGAGTCAATTGCGAACATCCCTCCAAGGCCCGTCCACAAGGAGGACCTTCCGAGCACGCTTTTAAGTTTAGGTCTCAGGAGTGCAATTTGCGCGGTTTTGGGACAGAGGGTGCAGATCATAGGGATTTGTTTAACGGGTCTTCTTGAGCTGGGGAGCAGGATGCCCCACCAGCCGTACAAGGTTCCAGCTTCCTTGTCGCTGAAGCCGAACTCGTCGGTGGCATAGAGCACCAACCTGAGACCGATCAAGAGACATGAGCCATCTTCGACAGCCCTTGCCATCTTTGGCCCAGAGGCAGAACTGCCATGACGTGGTAAGAGAAGGAGGCGAAGAAATTCAGGAAAAAGGTCCTCGAAAGTGACTGGAAGCTAGAGCATGCCATGCCTCGCACATGCATTTCTCCGACAGTTCTCCAGCCCAAGGCTCATCCACACGCCCAGTCGGAAGCGCGGACAGCACCGCATGGCGTGTGAGTCCCAGCGCCATGCGGGGCCAAGTGCTAGCAAAGTGCTTCCAAGGCCCTCTGGGACGGGACGAGGGGTTCCTCTGCAGTGAAAGGGAGGAGTGAAGCGCTTGTGCTCATGAGCTCATCTGCCCTTCTCGGTCCTCTTGCTACTGCAACGGATCGGAGCTGGGACTGAAGTCATGACACGAGCCAGTCTGCGGGGGAAGGTCCCAAAGCAAAAAAAGCTGAAACCAGCTTCCGGGAGCTTGGGTTTTCCTCTCAGGTCTGGGGACTCCGCCCGTCGTTCCTCCTGACGTAGTACTTGGTGATCGGGGACCCTCCGTCGTCGGTCGGAGCCGTCCAAGACCTCAGCGGAAAGCGGCAGAACCAGACAGGGACACGAAGTCCCCAACAAATCCCAAACTACTAGAGTCCAAGTCTAGGCCTAAGCGACGGCAGACTCCGTCCAAGCCCAATGGCACTACCCGACATCGATCGGATGAGGTCGGCGCAGCGCCACGGTGCTGTGCGAGCCGCCCGTGCGCACCAGATTCGTGGGTGCCGCTGGCGAGGCCTGGGCTCCGCAAGGTGGGGTTTCAATCAACACATATATATATATATATATATTTATATATTTATTTATATTTATATTTATATTTATGTTTATATTTATATTTATATATATATATATATATACATATATACATAGTGTATATTATACATATATGATATGTGATTCCGAACTCTCCGTGCCTGCTTTTAAGACAAGCCTGAAACCCGAACTCAGAAAATTCAGAGAAGAACAAGCAAATCTCAAGTTGGCTTCGCAGGGGGCCCGACCGCTGCAATCACCGAGATGTCGGAGCTGGCACCGGTGAAGGAAGCCTCAGAAGCTTCGCGAACTCCGTCTCGAAACGGCCGAAATGCCGAAAGTCTGTTTATGTAGGGTTTAGGGCTTCTGGCGGTGCATGTAAGAAAGAACCGAGACGTAGATGCCCCGTAAAACATAAGGAGTACATCAACATATCCATGCGTTGTACGCATGTGTATGTGTGTGAATATATGTATACATGCACTCATCGTCTTCTTCGAAGTACTATCGGTCTGTTACTGTAGAGCTTTTTGCGCCCACTGTAACATTGTACTTCCTATATTGAGACTTGGGATGTAGGGTTTGAGTGTAGGCTGTGCCGGGAAACAAGTAACAAGAACAGAGGCACCTATTTCCCATACACGGTGTAGGAAGGAGTTGTGGTGCAGCGGCATGAAGCAAACGGAATCAAAACTCGGGGAGAGCATGATCACTGCACGTCTGTGGTTCAACATATGCATGCACTCCACGTATGCATGAGTAGCCTCAACTATATACTGCACGCTAGCTCTATAGAGATGCCGTAGCAGCAGTATATTGCCACACATTCACTACTTCTTCGAGTCGTGCAACTCTCTCGTGCACTCAACTGCTTCAAGACAGCGGTCTTAGGCTTTCGCAGAGACCTGGGTCTTGAAGTTGTCGGCGATGACCCGGAAGACGAGAGCCACGTCCGCCGCGGAAGGCCTCCAGTGGCGAGCGAGGATCGGCTCTGCAGCAGATTTGCAGGGCTTGATTGAAGCACCCTCTAAGAGGGCTACGGCGGCTACGGCTAGGGCCCCTGGCACGTAGTTGAAGGTGGTCTGCAGCACGGAGGTGGTCGAACCCACCTGCAGCACCGGAGCGTCTGAAAAACGGAGCTTCGCTCTGAGCTGCGCAGTGGGGCCCTTCCGGTTCGGCCTTGGCCATGGTCGCCACGGAGGTGCCGGCCAAGACCTGGGCTATCTGCTGTTCGGCGGCCTTCCCAATCCTGAAATCCCCATGGCTCCTCTCCATTTCCGTTTTCTGCTTCTCTTGCGCCCACCATCTCTGCCCAGGCACAATGTATCCCAGAATCGGGCATGCTCCCGTCTCCGTGGGAGGCTCCCAGCCGAGTTGGACCAGGGTGCCTCTGGCTTCGGCGGCTCGCGCAGTGGGGCCCCTCTTAAGCAGCGCCTACACGTCTTCAGGACCCTGTTATCAAAACATGTTTAGAGCCCTCAATTAAGTCAGAAACTCCGGACCCCCGCATCTCTGACGACCCTGCCTGACCGCTGCAGAACGCGAAGGTTCCCAACCGCACCTCGTCGGAGCGGGGGCAGAGCGTGAGAGGACAGCTTTAGAAGGCTTCAAGGCCATCCGAAGCCCCAGTGCAGGGCCTGGCTCGTTGCAGGGTGCCACTTCAATGGCCTCAAAAGACACGGTTATGCAGCCACAGGTACCCCGAACTCCCTGCAGATCGCGAGCTCAGGCAGCGGCAGCCGCAGTGCCTTCGCCCTTTGCCGTGAAGGCCTTCACCTGAAAGTGCCGAAACAAACTTTAGAGTCCAAAGGAGCTGCTTTTTTGGGGGGGGTGCCCGGCCTCCGTTTTGTAGGTATACCCACTGGCCAAGCCGACCTTCTGGAAGACTTGCCTCAAAGAGTCAGAGGGAAGGGACACTCCAAAATGTCTCTGAAGAGTCGATTGCGCCAGCTGGCAGTAGGGCTGTGACGCTGTGCCAGAGTATTCCTCTACCATGGGCCCACCAAGAGCGTCGTCCATGAACACCTGACAGTATGCTTCAGCCATGGCAAGCGCGGGACAAGAGCTCGAATGAGATCTATTGCAAAATGCCTCTAAGCAGATCCGGCACAGAAATAGCAACGCGAGTGATGCTGTGCCATGTACTTCACACATGAAAGCTCAAGAACCAGACTCCGTGGCGTGGCCTTGTAACCCAGAATGGGCATTCCTCCAGTGTCGCTGGGCGGGTCCCAGGACACGGTCACGGAGATCAGCGTCGAAGCCTCGTGAGTGACACCAGTTTTGAGAGCGCCGTGGCAGTCCGGCCGACGGCGTCTGAGGTGGCGACTGCCAGCGCCAGGTTCACAGGTGCCGTCGGGTAGGTGGCAGAGTAGTAGATCTGGCAGCCGAGGCTACACAGCTGCAGAGAATGTGGGAAAAGCTGCATTAGAACTGTGTAGCTCTGCGGTCAAAGGACGGCCTGATTGCGTCTGTACGACATATAGATGGCAACAAGACGAAGGGGGCAATGAAAGCACAGCCCGAAGCGCATAATGAAAGCTGAAAGACAAAAGCTCCACTTTAGCCGGGGATACCGAGGTGTCGCTGCGAGTACCCGGGAGCGAGTGGGACTCTGCCTGGCGAACCGCGGCATGCTGCAATGCTGCAGTCCCATTCCGAAAACAAGGCTACTGCGTAGTGTATTGGTGGTCTTCCTTGAACAGAAAGCTGAGAGTTTGCGATCAACCGTGCCATGCAGACCATGGTGTTCACAACCGCCACCTTGGAGAAGTCTCAAGGATGGCATGTGTAACCCGACCACGTCGATTCATGGGGTCGGAACTTCGATCTGCAGGGATGCGCCAGTCAGGAAGGTGATGACGTCCGACTTTGTGCCTGCCCACGCCGCCACGCTTCAGAAGACTCCCACAGCCGCGACATCCCCCTGCAGCCTTTTCTTTGCCTTCGCGGAGCCGTGCATCTAGTGATATCTAGTTAATTTCATATGCCATCATCTAAGCACGTCAGACGCGCCGCAAGCATCAGATCTTGTTGCTGATGCCTGCGGTGATAAATTGATTCTTCGTTCCTCTAATAGCTGGAAACACAGACTTGGAAATGCGATGGGAAGGGCTTCTTGTGAGGCCTTGGCCGGCCCTGGCCGTACTACAGCCAGAAATGGCCCCCTCCGAGCTTGTGATGCGCAGCTCACGCAGCTCGGTCACGAGTCACGCAGCGCTCGCGTCTCCTGAGCCTCAACCAAGGCTCGGAGCATGGCCAAGCGATCGTCTTCGGCTGTCAGGTGCGCCAGACGCCCGATCAGCCACTTCTCCGGGCCTCCACTTAAGGGCCCATAGCCCCCCCCCTTTTCGAATACTATAGCACTGGACTTCCAGTCGAGTCCCGGAAACTGAGGCCGGCACTGCGGCCCTCGAAGTGCTGCGTCTTCACGCGGCCCTTCATCTTGATGGCCTGCTCCCCAAGACGGCGCACGACCTCCACGCGATCCTGCTGCTGCCAATCCATGCGGATGAGATTCGTCGCTTCCTGCGCAAGCCTCCGATTTAGCAGAATCAATCTTCAAGCATCGCATGTGCAGGCTGTGCAGGCAGTGCAGGCATGCCAAACCCGGACGTGGCGTGCCTCTGGAACATCTCATCCCGCTCCCGCGCCCGTCGAGCAGCGCTGTCGCGGCGCCGCTGGCCGCGGCTGCAGCTCAGGGCGTGGTGGCTCGGATGATGGCAGTACCTGCAGCCGCCGAGCTGCCAGTGCTTGCACTTCCCCTGCTTGTTGCACGGCCTCCCAAACAGGGAAATGAGGGAAAGGAAGGGAAGACTGAAGAAGCCGGAAGCCGGAGTCCACAACACAGCAGCAAAAGGGCTAAGGACGCCCGGCCTGCAGTTGGGATGCCGCGCGTCCCCAGGGTTCGGGCTTTGGGGGAAGGGGGCCTCGGCCTCGGCTTGGGAGCACTGGGAGCTGTCGGAGTGCGGAAGTCCCAGAATCCTGGTGCTCATTGGGCTTCCCGCCGCCGTGGTGCTCGGGGTCGGGAAATCCTCCAAGACAAGCACCGACACTGGTGCCAGTGGCACCGGCGCCATGACCCAAGTTGAAGGAAGATAGCCGGCTTCAGGAGGGCTTTCGGGATCGCGGCTTTGCCAGAAGATCTCATCGTCCGTGGTCACTTCTGCTTCGTCGGCTTCGTCGTCCTTCTCCTGTCTCTCCCACGGAAACCGTGCCATGGCAAGTCTGCTCAGCTGGGAGGCTCCTAAAAATAGCTGCCAGCTACTAGTATAACCTTGAGAGGGAAGGCACAACGCGACGAGATGCTGCCTGCGGCTAGCGACCGAAGCGGACACCACATCCAAATCATGACAGCATGACAGCCAAGCATGAGGCTTCCACGTGCCTGTGCCACTCCATGCAAGCTTGTCAATCGGGCCCGCATCCAGGCCATCGCGATACCAAACCTTCGAGCATGGAAAAACTGCTGTACTGCTTGGGCTCATGCGGTGGCTGCAGGTGCCTCGTAGCGGATGATGGGAGACCCACCGTCGTCGGACGGTGCTGTCCAGCTTACTACAGTCTGTGTGCCTCAGCATGCAGCGGTGTTCCGCACTCACAAAAAGCCGCGGTTTGGGGCCCATGCGGGAGTCGTGCGTGAAGGTCACGGCCGTCGGCTTACCAGGGAGCCCAGCCGCCAACATCGTGGCCTCGGCAAGCAGAGCGAGGGTGGGAGGACTCTTCCCTCCACTCGAAGCCAAACATGGAGAAGCAGAAGCCCGTCTTTCAACCAGGTACCGCAAGTGTCAATGCGACTACCTCGCAACTAGTCGAGGATGCCACGGTGTCCGACCGCGGGCTCTCTCCGGCATTGTTCACCGCTGTCACCTGGAAGTGGTACCTCTGGGCTCGTAAGCTGACGGCTACTACTGAATGTCTGCGAAGCTGCTGCTCAGTTCAGCTACCAACCGACAAACCAACTCACCAAGTTATCATGTCACAGAGACCGCGAGGTGCAGCAACTTGAAGCTTATGAAACCAGGAATCATGACGCAGAGCCGGTGGAACGGATCTCTTTCACCATAAATTCTGCCCTCGATACCGTACCTGCAAAGGCGATGCATTGAAAACGATCCATTCTTTCTTGCCCGTTGGTCTGCATCAGCATGCACTCGTTCTTCTCGGCTTCCTAAAACGTCTGCAGGGACTCGCCCGCCGCGCGAGCTGCCAGACCACACCAAGTCTGGCAACGGCGCCGGTGACAAACGCGGAACGGGGGACCGGGACTGTTTTCAGCAGCTTGGCCCACCGCACGAGGTGGAGGCCGAAGGCTCTATGACATGAGCCGCTGTGAGGGCATCGCGACACTTTTCTTCTTGTGCATCTCGCACCCACGTTCTGAACGCTGCTCTACGCTGCTCTCTACAGGTGGGGGGACGCAAACAACACGTCTCGGCGGCACGACATGCTTTCGAGGTGAGAGGGTGAAAGGCGCAAGACAGTTACACACAGGACTTGCGCAGGAGCACGTGGAGCCGGTCATGAGCCCAGTGGATTCGTAGGACAAGGTAAAGCCTTCGTAGATGAGGCTGTAGGCGGCTCCATCCAGCGCCTGCGCGGATCACATGTTGCGCGGAGTGTTAATAAGCGCGAAGCGGCGGCGAGTTCCTGCGAAGGGCACCTGGTAGAGCCGGTAGGCGGTGATGGCCGATCCCATGCTATCAGGCGCCACCCACCTCAGAAAGACTAAAAAAGCCGACTGCAACTTGCGACCCACTAAAGAGTCGCTCCGATTCTCCGACTTCGGGCAGTTTCACATGGGCTCCGGCGCCAAGGTGATGGACGTTCGCGTGGACGTGGCCCGCGTGGGCGTGGCCATCCTGGGCTCCCGACTAAGAACAAAATATACTTGAGTATAAATATATGTATATATATATATATATATATATTATTCCACGTATTATACCGTTGCTGCTGGTCATTGCAGAGATCCAGTCACGGGCTGGATGCGTCTAGTTCTTGAAGCTGTCGCTCTTTCGATTCTCTCTGGGCGCGCAGCTTGGCAGGCTCTGTGGCACACACTGTGCTCACCTTCAGGGAACTTCTTCCCAACACGGAGAACGATTCCGATGCATCCCATGACGTTGTCATGACGTTCTGGGCGCTGCCTCGCTGCCGTACTTGCCCCATCCGACGGCGTTTCGCGCACGGATCCGGAACACCAGGTCCGCACCTCCGCAATGCAAATGCGCCAAGCTCGGGTCCAGCCAGAAAGAGAGAGAGAGAGAGAGAGAGAGAGAGAGAGCGAGGGAGAGAGAGAGAGAGAGAGAGAGAGCGAGACTGGGACGGCTTGCTTCGGCTCAGACGAGCTGGTCAGCTGCCTTGTGTGCAGCCTTGCACCAGAGTCGAGAAATCGCCAGCAGCGTTGGTCGCAACCTGAACATTCGAATCAGAAAACGAAATCCTCTGCGTGGCTCACGCTAGTGTGGCCAAAAACCTTCAAGTTATTGTGGCAATAGACAGACCTACCTGGAATGCGTGCCATTGCTTATCATTGCCGAAAGCATTATGCCACTCAAACACCCCTCCCCTCCAAAATACCTGAGCCAACAGGCTCCGAAACACCTTCTGACTAGACTGCGTCTCAGCTCTGCTTCGGGAATCGTAAAGGAACGAGTTCGCATAGTCTGAGGACTCTCTGCGCTTGAGAATCAGCAAAGCGTGGGCCAGACGATACAAAAGGAAGGGCGTTGAACGAGAGGTTGGTTCACACTCCGGCGGCGCCCAATCAACGGCATTCCTGTCGATCCAGCCACTCGGCAAACTTCACCAACAGTCTGCAGGATAGAGATTACATGGAAAAAGCCATGTATATAGATACTTTGCTGTACTGAATGCAAGATTCAGCTGCTGCGTACACAAAGATCTGAGCTGAGATCCCGGCCACTGTCCAGCCCGCGGCTGCTTGGTTCATGGAGATCTCGTAGAGGTCCACCTTCGATGACTCACTCTTGAACATCCCTTCTCTCAAGATCTCGAAGCCCTGTAATAAGAAGCGTGTAGTGACTGTGACCAGACCAGAGACCGGATTCAGCCGCGGCGCTGCAATGCCACCGTTCTCCAGGGAGGGCGGGAAGTCCACCTCAGCCGCGTCGCACATGCCAAACAAACCTTGCAGCCGACGGCCCGCGCAAGGCTCCGACGATGACGTCGCCCAGCGCTGGGTACATGAAGTAGATGGCACCTGAAGGTCTCTCCGAAAGCAGCCATCTATTTGGCGCTTTCAACTCGTAAAGTGGCTCCCGCCCGCACCTGGTGGATCCGGTGGTTGTGCCACGTGCCCGCAGGCAGCATCACTCAGGCGGGGCCTCGGGATGGACCGTGTGTGAAATGGTCACAAGCCTATATGCCTGCGGCTACAGATGGGATACGTCGTACGTATGATTACGATCCATAGAAACATCGCCGCCTAACGGACGTTCTGGGTGATCGCAAGCTCCCCCAAGCACGGGGCTGTTGGTCATCCAGGGCATTCGTCTCCGTGACGAAGTTCAGAGCAGCGACTTTGAAGCAGAAAGTGCCTTCGGACTCCAATCGATTAAAGTTGGTCGCAGATCAGCAGAGAAGGGTCTGCTCAAACAAAGGTTGACATGGCTCTTTTCTGCTTGGAGGTGATGGGCCCGCGGGCTTTGCTCGCGGGGCCAAGCTCTGCAGGCATTGCCGAGGGCGGCCGCATCTTTCGTCTCTGGCTACACAGGACGGTCCCGCAGTGGGCCCGTTCAGCCTTTGGAGAACTCCGCGCCAACCATCTCCACCCTGCCATGACAAGAGAGGCAGGAGCTTCAACTCTGCTCTTCTCCAGAACCAGCGGCCTCCTGCCGTCGGCCTCAGCAGCCGGAGTGAAATCGTAGGATGTTTTGGGAGGGCAAGGATCCAAGCTGCCGACGTCTGTAGAACTCGGACTCCGCTGATGGACCAAGGGCGAAGCGTCCCAGGTTGTGTCCTTCGCACTCGCAAGCTTGAGCCCTCCAGGTCGAACCTCGGACCTCCTGTCCTTTAACATGTGTTAACAGCATCTGACAACTTGGCGGACATTGAAGAAGGCTGTGTGGCTGTCTTAGGAGGGACTTGCGGGTCCTCCTCGTCAGCGTCCGCGCAGCTGTTGTAGATGCGGAAGAAGAGCCTCAAATCTTAGACTCTTACTGCAGGGAATGCTCCCGGGCCTCGCTTCTTGCGACGTCGCAAAGCGGATCTCAGCAAGCCAAGCGGCGGCGTGCAAATCAGAAAGACCGAGCAAAGGACGAAGACCTTCCGAAGCTTCGAGCCGCGCACTTTCAAGCCAATCTTTCCCAAACAGCATCCTCTGCTATCACGTTAGGAGCGCTCAGCTTGCCCCGTTCCTAAGTCGGGAATGCATGATACACGCCTTGCAGTATCTCTCGATCAGGATCATCTTCTGCCTCGCTGCAAGCATCTTCCCAGATTCGGACGCAGGCAGTCCGCCGGTGGCATGCGAAGTCAAGTTGCTACCTTGCCACGATACCCGAAAGGATTAAGCCGTGAAACGCTCTAAACCTTGTAACCCCCAAAGCCCCTAAACCCCAACCAAACCCAAGCCCCAAACTCTCAACCCCTGAAACCCTAAACTCCCGTTATCCCCAAAAGCCCCAACCAAACCCGGCTGCCACGAAAAGGAGGCAAAGAGAGCCGAGAGCCAACCTGCCCGGCGACATCGACTCCGCTGCGACGATCACCGGCGCTTCGAAGACCTGGCAAAGGAACGTCTCTTCGGGTCCTCCTTCTCAGACCCCACCACCTTCAAACGGGGAGAGAGAGAGAGAGAGAAGAAAAGAAAAAGCAGCAAAAATGTGCGTGTGTGCTTATATACGTGGATATGCCGACTGCTCGTGAATATATGGAGTTCGAAGGGCTCAAGATCTGCAAAGAGGACACGTAGAAGATGTGAACTAGACATACAGAAGTTATGTTTCTCGCTCCCGCGACTTGACTTTCCGTGCCGTGCCCTTGCCCTGTAGGCTCGTGCAGTACATAGGGTTCGGGCGTGGTCGTACGATGTACTGAAGCCATGTGAGGAGCTGGAACTTGTCATCCCGTCCCGTCTGCCGCGATGTGTTGAACACTATTCTCAAAAGCCCTCCCACCTTCCAGTCTGTCTGGACGACGTGTAGCCTCGCGCGGAGCTGCCATCAAGCTACAAAGGCCATCGAAACCTTTTTATCGGGGAGCCCTGCCTTCTGGACGGACCGAAGGGCTGCACCTGCAGAACCCGCAAACCATGCAAACCCGCCATCCATGGGGCGCAGGGGGTCCCCCCCGGCCCGGCCTGGCGCGCGTTGCCGTGCACACGGCCTGGGTCTCAAGAGCACGAAGAGCCGTGGGATGCCGCAGGCCGAGCTGGGGCCTGCGAGCTGCGTCTGCTTCAGGAGGAAAGACAGCCTTCCGGGACAGCACTTGCAGAATCTCATCTTGGAATCTCTCAACATTGTCGGCAAGCGGCTGCTCGATGTCGGAAGGCTGCGGATCACCTCTCCGCAGAACGTGCAAAAATCCAACGCATCCGACAACCGACGCAGCGACGCTCTCGTTCGAGGCCCGGGCCCAGCACGAACCAGCGCACATTGGGCGTGCAGGGAGGCCGAGGGACACTGCCTTCGTAGCCTCACAGCACAGCCACCGGATGCCAGCAGAGACGGCACCACTCCGAAGCCTCTTAAAGAAGAGCCTTCCTTCGCCTTCTCTCTACTTCTGGGCCACTGAGCCGAGCGGCTGTAGAGGTCCTTGCCGCTGCCGATCACCGCCTCGAGCTCCAAGGCGGCGCTATCCGAGTCCTCCCAAACTCTCTCGGCTCTCCGGCTACGACTATAGGGGTTTTTGCACGGAAGCTGGGGCTTTAGGGGTTGTGGCTCGCTTAAAAGGGGGTTGGCTCTGTCCTTGTTGGCGGCCAAAGCCTGCGAGAGCCACCTGCCGCTCCCGACGCGTCGAGTTAAGAAGCTGCCTCTGCCGGATCTGTGCCTCACCAGCGAGGTGGCCGTGCCGTTCATCTCCCCCAGAAACACGGGAGAGGCGCGGAGCACGAAGAGGGAAAGGGCCTGAGAAGAACCCAGTGCTGGCCTCTCAAGGCTTCACGCTTGGACGCTGGGGCGGCCGCCACTCGAAAGCCTGCAAAGCGACGCTTCTGAGCCGCGACAAGGCTCTGGACCTGGGTCGGGTTCATTACCCGTTTTTAGCAGCTCAGCAGATAAGCACCGCCCTAGCGCCTCCTCCTGCAGCTTGTCGGCATGCTGGGTCACCCCCTACCAGGACAGGGGTATCGAGGCTCGAGAGATCAGTCTTCGCTTTGAATGACCACGTCAGCACTGTTGCACTCATCTCGACCAGGGTCTGCTGCGAGGGCCGACAGCCTTCATGTCCTGCTGGAGCAGCGTGCTGACCTCGGCCAGTAGCCACAAAGAAACCAAAGCTAAAGAGCCGTGGCCAATGACCCATGACAACGATCGAGCTCCTCTACAGTAGTACGGTTGGTAAATAACGGAACCGGGGCTTCTGCAGAAGAGATGTCTGCCTTCGCCGCATCCACCCAGTCCTGGGCCTGCTGCGATGCTCTGGAACCTGGCAGGGAAAGCTTCGACGGATGGCTTAGGCGTGGGATACATCCATGGAGTGAGGCTTCGGCCCTCGGCGGAGTTGGCCGCCCAGGGCGTGGCCTCGCCGTTGAGCTGCTTGGAAAGCGTGGCCTGGCCACTGGCCACCACTGAGAGCTCCGTCCGAGGAACAAGCGCTAAGCCGCTAAGCAGCGCGAGTCGCCTGGGATCGCTCCAGCGCTGCGAAGCGGCTGTCCGAGTCCTGCAAGGCCTCGCACAGAGCTCACGCACGCACTGCGGCACTGCCCACGCTCTGCTCGAGCCTCGAGCACCTGCTGCGTGTGCTGAAGGAGCGTGTCCGTGCGGCTCACAGGCATGGGGTCCTCAGAAGGCATGGCATCGCCGATGCCCACCGAGCATCATCCGACACTGTTGAGACCCCAGCGTGCCAGAGCTGGACCTCCAGGGCCCAGCTGGCCTTGCGCAGCGTGTGCTCGCTGGGGGCGTGGACCTGCGCCAAAGCGAGGCCGGACCGCTGCCGCTCTCTCTCCGTGGCTCTCCTCAATCGCCGAGAGCGAGTACTCGTCGAAGTCCCCGTAGCCGCGGCCGATTTGCACCTGACGAGGCGAGAAGCCGGGCTTGGCGTTGCTAGAGGAGCTGTCCGTTCTGTGCCGCCTTCCCCACGGATCGCCCTGCTTTGAAGCGGATCCGAGGCACGCCATCCGGGTCCACGCCCGCCGATTCCACATCCTCGATGCGGGGCGAGGCTTGGGGGCTTGGGCAATACGCTCGTGTGTGCAATGTCGCGTCTTGTCCTGTAGCCGCAGGGGGCTGTAGAGCATGCGGATCTCGAAGTCGCCTTGGACTTCCCGCAAGACCGAGGCCCGAAACCCAATCTCGCGCAGATTCGCGCAGGCAAGGCGCCCTTCTCCGCATGTTTGGGCTCAATGTCGATCGGGCTCTGAAAGTGGCCGACGCAGAGCTGCCCCCAAGAACTGTCCTCAACAAAACACAGCACGTCATGTCGTCATGTCGTCGCGTCCACCGCGCAAGTCCTGGCGCGTGTAGTCCCAGGAGCTCATGTCGGCAGCCTCCAGGGCCCCGGGCCCCGGCACGCCCCGGCACGACTCGTAGCTCGAAAACTCCCCCCAAAGTCCCCAAAGTCCCGAAGGCCTGGCTTAGCCATGCGAGGCCCACCAGCCGCAGCATGGCGCGAAGGTAGCCGGAGACGTGTCACGTCGTAACCAGGGACCAGGGTAGTGAATGGTAGTGATAACGTTGGTGTGTGTTAGTTCATCGGCTGGCAAGTCAACCTCGGATATGGGGCTGAGGTATCACCATGTGCCAGGCCGCCTATTCGGCAGGCATGACTTACGGCTGCTGGGTCCTACATGGGCTTGACGGATGGATGCTCCTTGGGAGAATAGCCAGCAGGATGCGTCGCAGGAGCGCTTGTGAACTCTTAATACTAAGGGGCCCCTGTTCTTCGATGGGAATGAAAACCAAAGAAATGTGCGTCGATGTCTCGTCTTGAGACCCGACTAAGGCTGCGAGGCCGGCGCATGCAAGGAGGCTTCCCTAGAGGGGGATCCTGACGGACGCCCCCCCCCCTTCTTCTTCTTCGAATATTCCCGCGGAGTTCCCGAATGTGAGTGCAACATGATGCTAATGAAGGGACTCTTCTCTAGATTTACCTGTGACAATGATCTAATTCTGACACACGTCTAGTATGAAACCTCCGGAACATCCTTCTTCCACAAGCAATCTCGCGGTGCGCCTCCCACGGCCAGGCGGTCCACGAAGGCCGTGGTGGTCAAGCTGTTGGTCTCACCCCAGGTCCTGAGAGACACTGGGGGTTTATGAAGCGTTGCGGGGTTTGGGCGCTGCAAGATTATAGGGGTTGGCAGGGTTCTGGTGCTTATGGAGTCTATAGGCTATAGGGCTTGGGGTTAACGGTTGGAGAAAGGTAGAACGGTAGAACCGCCCATCTCTGCCAGCAGCCTTTTTGCTCGCTTCGGGGCAGGCGCAAGACCTGGAACCTACAAAAGACCTAGTGCCAAACCTCGTGACGGGTTCGCTTCGTTGGCGAGCCTTTCCAAGGTGACACGGGGCCCTGCTGTGAGGGCCAGGGCTGCTGGGAGCCCTCTGAGAGTGGTGTGTCCCAGATGCGGAGCTGCAGAGCGCAGTCGGAGCGCACCTCGATCCAGCCGCTGTTCGGGGGTTCCGTGGAGTCACCGGGGCAAAAGGCCCAACCTGGATGCTCCACGACAGCCGTATTCCCGTGGCCGAGGCGCCCCAGCCACCAACCCTGCCAGGAGACGCCCCCTCGATCATTGCGATCGTCCCAGTAGAAGAGGCAAACGTCCGGCTCTGTGACCACCTTCTTCCAGTAGATGGGCTTGCCGTGGTGTTCGTACCACTGCTTCGCATAGGTACCTGCTCGAGGGCAGCGGGTCTTAGTCTTAGTGTCTTAGTCTGTGCCACCCATCGAGGAACTCGGGGCCTGCGACCAGGTTTCCCACAAAGCTGCGCTCGCCGACTTCCTCCACGTGGAGCAGGTACGGACAGCTTCTGGGAACGAAGCTCGGCGGAGAGCAGAAGCGCTCCTGCTGCGAAGTGGCGGCAGAGAGTACAGAGACTCTAAGGACAGCAGGACTAGGTCTAGGACGTCTAGGGGGCCTAGGAGTGGCCAAGCGTCGAAGCCCGCCTCCACGGCACCGGCAAGCTTCTGGCCCAGGAGCTTGTAGCCGCTGTCGGCAAGATGGTGCTCATCACCTCAAGAGGTGCGAGAGTCGGTGGAACGATGCCTTCGGCGCCCCAAAACCTCTCAACTGAAGTTGAAAAGCCGCGGCACGCCAGTGCTGAGGACTCAAGGATTGCAAGAAGCCGTCGAGGTCGATGCAGCAGCTGCTCTCTTTCAGAGTCTCGTTCACTTGCTGGCGTGTTTGCTCAGCTTCTGGCCATGCCTGGCGTTCGGTTTCGTGCAGATACAGGGAACACTGGCAGACCTCCACACCTCGAAATTCCAGGTGCTTGCAGAGTTCTGAGAGTGTGCGGAGGATTTCAGAAGAGGGTTCGTCGTAGAGGTCATTACTTCCAACGCAGATGACAGCGACATCTAGCTCCTCGTCCTGCAGCAGCTCAGAGAGTGACAGGAGGCGCTGCTCTTTCAGGGCTTTTGCTGGGTCGTACTTCCAGGAATACCCCAGTCTTGCCAGCTTGGCCATATCCCTAAGCCGGCAGAGCCAACACATTGAAAGCAGCGCCCTCGACCTCGTGCCTGGGAATCCTGCGAAGATGAAGTCCAGCTGCGCACCCATCTGCCCCAATCGCTGCCGCAAACTCGCCTCCATGGCCCAAGCAGTGTGGGACTTGCGCACCCGTTTCCCATCGCTCTTCTGATAAAGGTCCGTGACCCAGCTGTCCCCGATCAAAGCCACGCGCAAAGGCCGCGCCAGCCGCCAGGCTCTCGAGTCTCTCGCTGTGCTCGCGACGGGGGCACCAAACGCACTCATCCCCTGGCGGCATTGGCCCTTCATGTCATGTCATGCCATGGCTGCCCTGGCTCGGGCTCTGAGCTCTCGAGCCTGTGGAACTTAAAGACTTGTGTAGTAGGGACACGGAGGCAGCGGAAGGCATCTGAACTCGACTAAGCTCCCGGGCGTGTACGGCTGATCCACGCCACCGACATACACACGGTATCCGGTCACCGGCACCTGCGCGGAAACGCTGCGGAGAAGCACTGCCATGGAAGGCAGGAGTGGAGCGCCGGAGACGGGGGAGCGCGAAGCCAAGGCGGGCCGGGCAGCATGGCACTGCGTTTTAATCAATCGTCCGCGTCTGCAGGCTGCTTCTGCCACTTCTCCAAGAAGTCTGCCAAGCTCTGCAATGCCTGAGGCGGAAAGACGGAAACTCAATGTCACATATGTCACGGACCGGGGTTCTGCTGGTCGCTTTCTTGGGCTTCGCCGAGAGTCCGTGTTGTGAATCGAGTGGTCCGCCGTCGGGAACTCGTGGAGCTGGAGAGCCGGAAGGACGGAGCCCATGTCCTTTTGAGGACAATGACACTTCGCAAAACTCCCCTTCCCCTCGTCATCCCTCGTCTACCTCTTCCGCAGTCTACCATCCTCTCGCTCTTCTGCTTCTTGAAGCCGGAGGCTCGTGCAAGCCGCCTGGCAGCGCCTCCCATTTGCAGACCGTTCCGGAGGGGCCTCCGGTCAGGGAGAAGCAGGGGCGGAGCGTTCCGGACAGGCCTCCAATATTCTGGATGCTGTGCGGTTAAAGGTTATGCTCCGCCTGCCACGCAGACGTGGACCGGGAATGTCGCCACCCCGGACTGCGTCAGCGCTGCGATCTTCTGCCAGCACTCGTAACCTGCGTCGCTGTCGCTGCAGAGCCCCAGGTTTTGGCGGAGTGAGTCTGAATTCGGACCTTGCTCGGAATTGAGGACGGTCTGCCTCGCGAGATACTGGGCGTGGGGATTGATGCAGCTCCAGACCTCGCTCCAGGCCACACGCGCAGTGCTCTTGCCCTGAATCTCTGGGGGGGTCTGAGTCTGAGCATCCGAGCATCGGACGCCCTTCGTTCCTGGCTGAGTGTAGACACGAGGGGTGGAGCTGGTCCACCAGCTCTCCACACGCTCCTCGTCATAGCCTGAGTCGGAGTCTCTAGAGATCCCAGGTGGTGGAGTTTCCATTTTCCATCAACGCATTTCCAATTCCAGCCAGGAGCCGAAGGACATCAACTGCTTCTTGGCCTCCTCCTGAGCTCGGGTAAACCCCGAGAGTCGCGAGCGCGGATTGACATGGACTGCAGCTGGGTTGCCCAAGATGGGAAGTCACGGGAGAAAGTCTGCCTCTTCTCCAACTCCTCCCCTTCCAGTTTGGGATAGATGCGACGAGCACAGTCCTTGCTTGCTTCACTGCTGACTCTTGGATTGCTGGTCCCTCTTCTCCAGGCTGCCATATCTTCGATCACCAGAACGGACAGGTCTTCGGGATAGTCCGCCGCATACCTCGAAAGACGAAAGACGAGGACTCTAAAGATGAAGCTGAGGGCGGTCTCTGAGCACGGCGCTGCATTGCGATCCGACCGCCCATGCTGTGCCCCACAAGCACTACAGGGACTTCCAGCACGCCGGCTGCCTTTCTTTCGCGGACTTGGGCAAAAGGCGCTGTGCAGTCAGCCTGCCTTCAGGGTGGCGCGCACGTCGGCCGCCAACTGCTGCGGGGAGAAATCCTTGGGGTCTCCCAAGGGCGACTCACCGTGGCCTCTCACACGGAATCAAGCCCACATGAAAAAGCACGAAAGGGCTTCAAGGAAACACTTGTGTATTTAAATTCCTCTCCTCTCGGCTCCGGCCTCGCAAATCGACGGCCAGGGTCCGAATCCCCCGCCTGGCGAGCTCCTCCATCAAACCCTGCCAGGTGCCTGCAGCCAAGGCGCGATGCATCGCAATGCCCAGAGGCTTCGAAGCAAACGGCCTGACCAGGAATCCAGGCCGTGGATGAGCACCACCGTGCGGAGACCCTCATCGGCTCCGGCCGACGCCGCGCGTGTCTGCAAAGGCACCACGCTTTCGGCCGGCGTGGCCGCGCAGCAGCAGCGCCCACGGGCCTGAACCGTCCCGGCTTCCTAACAAAACCTCCCTAGAATACCCCTCGGACTCGAAGGCCCAACCCTAAACCCCCAAACCCAAATCCACAAGCATAATCTGCCCCCAGATCCCCAAAATGGCCAAACTCCCCCAAACCTCGCCACACTTAAACCCGTCGCCTCCCCGATGGACTTTGAGGCAAAGGCCGCCGCCGCCACGGCGGCCGCCAAGAAGGGCTTCCTTTCACAGATATGTATGTATGTGTGTACTTATATACAGGTATATTCATACATAATGAGACATAAGTATTAATGTACACTACATATACACCCAAAATCTGCATAAGTACATGCATACATACGTACATACATACATACATGCATACATACATACATGCATACATGCTTGCATGCGTACAGGCTTAGATACTTACAGACAGACAGACAGACAGACAGGCAGGCAGGCAGGCAGGCAGGCAGGCAGGCAGGCAGACAGGCAGACAGGCAGACAGGCAGACAGGCAGACAGGCAGACACACAGACTGACGGGCTGACTGACAGTTAGTTAGTCAAATTACAGTTTACATATACGCACATTACATAGATACATGCATCCATGCACGCATGCATACATACACCCTCATGGTTGGTTGGTTGGCTGTTAGTTAGCTAGTTTGACAGATAGATGTCCTGCTCCGCACAGGCGTGGGCGCAGGCCATGGTTGCCGGAAGGCTCGCGGAAAAGAGCAGCGGGTGGAGAAGCGCCTCCACATGGGCGAGGCCAGCGGCTTGGAGATGTACATGGCGTCCGCCGGGGCGCACGGGCGCAGATTTGATATGACAGCGGGCAAGAGACATAGTGGTGGTACAATGACGCAATGAAGGCATGTCGAACCCGAAGCTTCATCTTTCTCGAGACCTCGTGGCTATGCAGAGGTGTGTGCACTTTCACCGGCATGTCGCCCGCAATGCGGTCAGCGCATCTCACGGGAGCGCGGGATCGGCACCCCCCCGTTGAGGTTGCTCGGCACGCCGTCCCAGGACAGTGTGATGCCGCTGGCCTCTGCTGACAAGGAGTTTGATGTGCTGGATAGCCTTTCTCTGCAACTTGGGGCAGCTGCCGACATAGCCGTGATCACCAGGTTGATGACCTTACATCATTTATGTATGCACTTTCCGAGAAGAAAGACGTGTTTGGGCTGTGTTAGTCTAGCGCCTTCGCAGGAGCCTCTGCGGCAACCACCGTCAGAGTGGACGTGCTCGGGGAGTTGCCTACCTTTTTCGCAGGAGTGCATCAAGTCCCACACTTGCGTGACGGACGCGACCCTCAAGCGAAGCTGGGTTGCAGACACGCGAGGTCGCCCACACGCTGAAAGTGTAGGTCTGCACTGCACCCAGGCAGATATGAGACTTTCATGCACAACGAGGTTCAGGAGTGGCCACGCTGAGGCAAAGAAACCATATCATGTACTCTTTCTTTCCATCTACAAAACAGGCCGAGTGAAAAGACGCGTCTTGCGAATCAAAATTTGGCAATGCAACTTCTTGGGTAAGGCATGCAAGTTGAAACGCAGACAGCAGAAATGCCAAATCCCTCGGCAAAAAGACAACCTCCCGTGAGGCCATTAGGCAAAGCACAAATCGTCACGCAGGCAACGGCAGTCAGGGACCCAAGCGAAAAATCCTTGCACATGTCTGAAGTCCCTTCCAAGCAGCATAGTGAAACGATGCTGTGTGACATATGAACGGAAGATTCTCTCAATAGTCACCCAACTGGTCGGAAATCCAACAAACTCGCGTGAGCCCTGGGGGCATGTCACGGAGGCGGTAAGGAACCCAAGTGCAACAAACTTACACATGTCTCCAGCTTCCCCCGCAGTGGATCTCGCCGTCCCTTCCAAGCAGCTTTGGCATCGTGGAGCCATGCTGTCCGACACATGGACGGAAAGTCAACCCAATCGGTCGGAAAACGAACAAACTGAACAAACTCGCATGAGCCCGCAGGGCACGCTCAAACTGTCACGGAGGCGGTAAGGAACCCAAGTGCAACAAACTTACACATGTCTCCAGCTTCCCCCGCAGTGGATCTCCCCGTCCCTTCCAAGCAGCTTTGGCATCGTGGAGCCATGCTGTCTGACACATGGACGGAAGGTGCGCCCAATCGATCGGAAACCGAACAAACTCGCGCGCAAGCAAGCGGGGCAAGCTCAAACTGTCGCGGAGGCGGTAAGGAACCCAAGTGCAACAAACTTACACATGTCTCCAGCTTCCCCCGCAGTGAATCTCCCCGTCCCTTCCAAGCAGCTTTGGCATCGTGGAGCCATGCTGTCTGACACATGGACGGAAAGTGCACCCAATCGGTCGGAAAATGAGCAAGCTCGCATGAGCCCGCAGGGCAAGCTCAAACTGTCACGGAGGCGGTAAGGAACCCAAGTGCAACAAACTTACACATGTCTCCAGCTTCCCCCGCGGTGGATCTCCCCGTCCCTTCCAAGCAGCTTTGGCATCGTGGAGCCATGCTGTCTGACACATGGACGGAAGGTGCCCCCAATCGATCGGAAAACGAACAAGCTCGCATGAGCCCGCAGGGCAGGCTCAAACTGTCACGGAGGCGGTAAGGAACCCAAGTGCAACAAACTTACACATGTCTCCAGCTTCCCCCGCAGTGGATCTCCCCGTCCCTTCCAAGCAGCTTTGGCATCGTGGAGCCATGCTGTCTGACACATGGACGGAAGGTGCACCCAATCGGTCAGAAAACAAACAACTCGCATGAGCCCGCAGGGCAAGCTCAAACTGTCACGGAGGCGGTAAGGAACCCAAGTGTAACCGACTTACACATGTCTCCAGCTTCCCCCGCAGTGAATCTCCCCGTCCCTTCCAAGCAGCTTTGGCATCGTGGAGCCATGCTGTCTGACACATGGACGGAAGGTGCACCCAATCGGTCGGAAAATGAGCAAGCTCGCATGAGCCCGCAGGGCAAGCTCAAACTGTCACGGAGGCGGTAAGGAACCCAAGTGCAACAAACTTACACATGTCTCCAGCTTCCCCCGCAGTGAATCTCCCCGTCCCTTCCAAGCAGCTTTGGCATCGTGGAGCCATGCTGTCTGACACATGGACGGAAGGTGCACCCAATCGGTCAGAAAACAAACAACTCGCATGAGCCCGCAGGGCAAGCTCAAACTGTCACGGAGGCGGTAAGGAACCCAAGTGTAACCGACTTACACATGTCTCCAGCTTCCCCCGCAGTGAATCTCCCCGTCCCTTCCAAGCAGCTTTGGCATCGTGGAGCCATGCTGTCTGACACATGGACGGAAGGTGCACCCAATCGGTCGGAAAATGAGCAAGCTCGCATGAGCCCGCAGGGCAAGCTCAAACTGTCACGGAGGCGGTAAGGAACCCAAGTGCAACAAACTTACAGATGTCTCCAGCTTCCCCCGCAGTGGATCTCCCCGTCCCTTCCAAGCAGCTTTGGCATCGTGGAGCCATGCTGTCTGACACATGGACGGAAAGTCAACCCAATCGGTCGGAACTCGAAGAAACTCGCGTGAGGAGGCAGGGCAGGCTCAAACTGTCCATGAGACGGTAAGGAAGAAGTTTGCATATTGCCACTCGACCCTCTCAGCACTTGCAGCTCCTGCGCCGGCACGACCACAGGCAAAGAGTACCTCAAAGCGACAGGTGAACAGCGCCACAGCCAAAGCCCAAGGTGGAGAACTGGGACTCTGGGTCCACTGCTCGCTGTGTGTCTGCGTCGCCGCCAGGACACCATCCTGCAAGACCGGATCTTCGTCTGGGAATGCAAAGGACTGAGAGCAACTGCCGCCCCCAACGTAAAGAGCAGGCACCTGGGTGACGACGTAGGAGAGGATGGGGCAGCCGCCTGGCACTCGAAACTCCCAAAGCAATTAGTAGGACTCTCATCCTAGACTCCTGAACCCTTCTCAACGCAGACACTGCCAAAGGTCTTGTCGAGACACCGTCTGCGATGGGCGCCGACCACTCCACGGTCACGCCCAGCGTGCTCCTTCGGCTCACTGTGGGTTTAGGGATTGCAGATTTAGGTTTGAGGGTCGAGTGTTAAAGGCTTCTTTAGGCTTCTGGCATTTTCGGTTGAGGGTGAGGGTATGGGTCAGGGTGAGGGTGAGAGTGGGAGCGGGTGCAACGAACATAGAGTGATGCCTCTAGAAATGCAGGACATCGGCACCTATCACCAACAACACGCACTGCCATACTTCTCACTGCGATTCAATGTGCGCCGCAGCAGCAACGCTTGAACTTGGGCACCGGCCGCGACTTCACGGTGAAGTTGCTCGGCATCGACGGCCTCAGCCCGGAGGGGTGCCAGTGTTGCCAGAAGACACACTCGGATGATGTTTCCAGCGACGAAGATGCCGAGAAGCCTGTTTAAGGCTTTACGTACCACCACAAGAGAAACACTGCCCCGAACCGATCCGATACAAGTAGTAGCACCACGCACTCCAAAAATTTGAGAACGCCTCCCATCGACTTGGAGATCCGGCTCTGCGCCCTGGGCTCCCCTGCAGCACGCAGGCCGCCGCCTCCCTCGCGGCGCTGCGCCAGCCCTCGCCTCGGAGCCGAGCCGCCGCCGGAGCCGAGCCGGAGCTATACGTCAGAGCCTCTCGGTTCCCGGGATTCCGGGCCGTTGTGGTTCACGGCGGAGACGCGGAAGAAGTAGACCGTGCCCGTGGTGAGCATCGCCTCGAAAGGGCTCGAGGCTCGCGCCGCGGCTCCGGAGGGCCATGTTGGGCCTTGGTGTAGGCGGTGTCCGGGCCGTTGTAGACCTCCTGGTAGACCTCCCATCGCCCGTCAAAAAGAGAAAGAGGCGCCAAAGCCGCTCTCGAAGCAGGGTGCCCTACGCCGCCGTCGAGCGGACCGGACATGAAGAGCCGGTAGCTCCTCAGCACCGGGACAACCTTCCATGCTTACGGACCCATCGCTTCTCTCTCGCAATGCGCAGAGGACGAGCCGCAGGATCTGCGAACCGAGAGCCGAAGGTGGAGCCCACCTCAGAGCTGCTGGGTGTGCTGGCTGTCGCTGACCCGCTGACCGGCTTCCGAACCCTTGAGGAGCGTGCTGAACGGTGAGGGAGGTCAGCGCCCTCGTGGCGATGATAGGCAGCCCGGGGGCGGCTGGAGCATCTGAGCACAACGCATCGCAGGCAGCTAGGCCGCTAGGCAGCTAGGCGGATGCTAAGACTGGGCGGTCCGGCTGCCGGCTCGGATCTCTGCCGATGCCGGGGATGGCTGCCTGGAAAATTACCCCAAGCTGTCGAAGATGAAAGGAGGCGCTTGAAGAGCCCCTTGCCCTACGCCGATGAAGTTCACGGCCCTGACGTGGTAGACGTAGTCTTGGCCCGACTGCACCTCAGGCGCATCAAGCTGACCAAGCCAGGTTTGGAGCCTCCGAGCGCCTGCAAGTCTTGGAACTGCCGTGCCAAAGGGTCCTAGCATCTGTGTTTCAGGTACAGTAACTCAGTAACTGCATGTGCTGCATGTGTCATGTGTATCTTTAACACGCTCGGTCGCTCTGCTGTGCCATGTCATGTCTCCTCCAGTGCCTCGAGCAGGGGAACCGTGAGGTCCACGCCTTGCCACACACCATCCTGGGAAGCTCATGGCAGAGAAGCAGGGAGCAGCTGCCATCTCGAAGACTCTTGTTGCAAGACCTTCGCGGCCGTTTCACACTTCCGCCTGTTGTGACACGTTCGTTCTAGCTCTAGTCTCGATCTCACCCTGGACATAACGCGAAACCGCTGACGTGTTTATAGAGGTTGTGATGATTCCGAGGCCCTGGCCACTGCGCTTACCGAGGTCGCCGTGGCCTCTACGTAGACGACCGCGCGGTACGTCTGTCCTCGCGGGTGGTGGAGAGAGGCGTGCTCAGTTTTTGTTCAGAGGAAGGTCCTGGCACCAGGTCGCAGTCCGTGAAGAGCATGCTCTGCCTGCAACCCAGACATACCAGACATCAGAATCCGATCCAACGCAGCGGCCGCAGCAGCCGCCTTGTGTTGTCGATGGGTACTTCCAACGGCTTGCAGCCTGCAGCGGTGTGAGATTCCGAGCGGCTCACATGAGATGCTAGGACCCCCGACCAGCTCCGCCGACGGAGTTCTGCGCCAGCTTGGCCTTCGCAGCGCTCAGAAATGGCAGCGCCCGAGCGAGAAAGCCCGGGGAACACCATCTCATCTCGGGGCTATTGTTATTGCCTCTGTGCTCGAGGCGATGCTGGCGGAGCCCACCTGGAACTCTGCGGGAAGGCCGAAGTCTGCGTCACAGAATGGAGCGCGGTTGCCTCCAGAACGAAGCCCCAAGCCATGCCACTGGCAGCGTGGGCGTTGAAGCTCAGCGTCACCTGCCAGGGACACAGACTTGCAGGACTCCCATATACGTAAACGCAAAAGGCATCCGCAACTCAGCGTCTGGCTCCATCCGAGGTGACATTTCCGAGAACGGACCTGTCGCCAATCCAACAGAAGCTGCCAAAACCTCCCGGCTGGCAGTCCCGCAATCTTGGCATGGCACGGGGTCTCCACGAAGTAGTTGCTCACGCTCGAGGGCACGATCTGGGTTGGGAAAGGGCTTTGATTTTCGAGAGAGGGGGCCATGGGGGGACCCTTCGGGAGCACAGGAGCCCGGACCAGCTGAACACTCGACAACTGGCCGTCGTCCATCCCCGCCATGTCCTGGCTCCAGGCTCTGGCCGGACTTCTCGACTAACTCTCGGCCGGGCCTCGATGTAGAGCACCACACTGTAGTCGACCAGTGCTGTTAAGCCTGTTGCGGACAATACATCTCAAGCGCATACATATATATATATATATATATATATGGGTACCCCCCTATATGGGGTCCCCTGGGTTTTTGCACACCCAAACCACTAAACCATTAAACCATTAAACCATTCCTTTTGCTCCATGCCACTAAACCAATAAACCATTAAACCAATCCTTTCCCCCAATGGACCCAAACCAATAAACCATTAAACCATTAAACCAATCATTTCCCCCAATGGACCCAAACCACTAAACCATTAAACCATTAAACCATTAAACCAATCATTTTCCCCTATAGAGAGAGACACATCCCTGTATGGGCCGAAAGCATTGGTTTAATGGTTTAATGGTTTAGTGGTATAGTGGTATGGAGCAAACGGATTGGTTTAATGGTTTAATGGTTTAGTGGTTTAGTGGTATGGAGCAAACGGATTGGTTTAATGGTTTAATGGTTTAGTGGTTTAGTGGTATGGAGCAAAAGGAATGGTTTAATGGTTTAACGGTTTAATGGTTTAATGGTTTAGTGGTTTAGGTGCATTGGGGGAAAGGATTGGTTTAATGGTTTAATGGTTTAGTGGTTTAGTGGTATGGGGTAAAGGGATATGTTTAATGGTTTAGTGGTTTAGTGGTATGGGGTAAAGGGATATGTTTAATGGTTTGATGGTTTAGTGGCATGGGGCAAAAGGATTGGTTTAATGGTTTAATGGTTTATTGGTTTGGGTCCTTTGGGGGAAAGGATTGGTTTAACGGTGTACTAATTTAATGGTTTGTTAATGGTTTAATGGTTTAGTGTTGGGTCTAGAGCTGCCTACTACGCAGGTGTCCTGGTTATAACCGGGGACAGAGGTTATAACCAGGCGGCAAAATACGTTCAGGGTTTGAAGACTCCCGCCGTGCCCTATAGACCAAATGGATTGGCTTATTGGTTTGATGGTTTAAGTCTTCCGTGTCGTATCGCGCAAGCGAGCCGGTATAATAGTTTAAGTTTAAGTCTCCCCCAAACCCTAGCGCCAAACCCTAAGCAGTAAAACCCAAACAAACCCAACACTTGATGGTGAACCTGCAATATTGGTAAACTGTGTCGAAACACCGGGGGGCTTACATACCAGGGTTGTGGTTTGTAAATTGGGGTGCCTTGATTGTTTGTTGCACACTATAAACCTTACGAAGCAAATCTGTGCCACCGCTACTTCATCAACACCTAGATCCAAACGTTCGAAAGTTTCGGTGTTTCAGGGGGAATGTAACCGCAATGAAATTAAACAAGGACTAGAAGAATAGAGGGTCCGAGGTAAATGGAATGTATTCGGTTGTTGAGGCATGATGCAGTGCTTTGTAACAGACAAAATTCCGGGGACCATATGCGCATTCCCCAACTTTAGCGGAAAGGCTATATGGCGGACTTTACATAATGGTCTGTCCGTTCCAGTACATCGGGTTTATGAGATCTATGTACACATTGAGAGAATAGCCACTAACATGTCACTGACCCAGGAATCAAAATGCGGAATATGAAGGGGCTCTATCGGGACTACAGTAGGTCAGTAAGTGTTGTCAACATTGGAAAATCACGGTACACAGAAAGTTGAGATACGACTGATATGACGTCATTGTAGGGAGAGACAGTATTTCAAAGTTTACAGCGTGGTCAGGTTTCATCACTTCGTACATAGGCGAACTGGTTGCAACGCTATGTTCAAAGACCGTTCCAAGGAAGCAGGATTTCGATGAGACAAAACTGATAAGAATATGTGTGGTGAGCGAAACAAAATTTGCAACTTGCAAACTGTTAAATTTCCTCGCTCGGTACGTAGAAAATTCCTAGCAATGCTACTTCCAACTACATGGATGAACCTCTTTCGAGGAGTGATTCGGTGTGTGTTTACCACTTTTTCTAACACGAGGATCAAGTTCTGGACTGGGAACCATGGCTTCTATTCGACCTTCAGTCAATATTCACAAGAACACAAACAGAAATTCGGACAAGCTAGATGTAGCCTTCTGGTTTTCAGTCGGTCATCACTCAGCATATAGAAACAGTGCCAAGCCTAAGAAGCGACGCTTCATGTCGTCCCCCAGGAAAAACACTGTACAACGTTTGCTAAGCTTGTAGTGTGCAAGTCTTCAATGTTGGCTTGGGGCAGCCGTCATACAGAATTAAGGAATGCACCACTCAAATATACCTACCGGATATACCAGTGTTGAAAAGCAATCACATAGGGGCACAGGGATATGTCATTGAAAGCTATCAGTTTGCCAAAACGTGATAGCAATGCGTCCAACAACAGAGACTTTGATGGGATTGTGGCATTACAGTACAAAGATGGAAAGCTTTTCGTTCCAAAATCTAGTTCGCGATAAGGAATGACTGAGCCAGACTAATGACTACAGCGCGCTTGTTGGAAAAAACTGAAATACAGCGGTTTAGATACAGTCACACAAAGATGAACTACGAAGATATATCGACGGCTTCAAGGCAAGGATTTTAGCACATTGTAACGGGGTTTCGACGAGGGTGTCATAGAATTCTTAGCGTTGCGCGGGCTTCAGCATTCTGAAAGCATGGGTTGTTGCAACTTCCCGGGTTAGTCTTCAAACCGGATATAATACTGTAGTCGATGGCGTACACCATTGCCATCGAGCTGCTCCATACAAGCATAATACTATATTCGATAATGTATACCTGATTATAAATTAGTCGACTGGTTATAACCTAGTCGGCTGGTTATAACCTAATCGGCTGGTTATAACCTAGTCTGGTGGTTAGAGCTCAGTCAGATGATGTAGCGAAAAACGTAGGGGACCCCAAATAGGGGTGCGCCCATATATATATATATATATATATATATATATATGTATGTATATAGTATATATGTGTGTATATATATATATATATGTATATCTCTCTCTCTCTCTCTTTCTCTTCGCTTCCGCCTGACTCTGCAGTGATGCGCTGAGGCTCCGACTGCATCCGGACAGTGTCCAGAACAGGGCGCTCATCTTGGATGTTTCGGCGCATGCACATGAAAATACTCTGCGGGGTGTGCCGTGACTGAAACCTGAGCCATAGCAAGCAGAATCTCAACTCTACCTTCCCCTAGAATCTCGTAGAGCCAACCAACACTCTGAATGACATTCAAAGTCGAAAGTTGAACCAGCCCCGTCTCAGGCGACGACCCCGACATTTACATCGTCCTGCCGGCAGCTACCGACTCCCATGGCATAGGTGCCTGCCTGCACAGAAGAGGCTGGCCAAGGAGCCCATGTCCGTACATGTCATCGCCAGAATTCACACGAAAGGGCCTTGATGTCGGCGGCAGTGGCAAGTGCCACATCTTTCGTCAGCAGGATTTGTGCCTCGATAAACTTCGAGGCTGGCTCCAGCACAGAGCCGTTTTCCTGAGGACCCGACCCATGCTCTTCCCACAGCGACTCCTCCCGCGAAGGAGAACGAGACGCCGTCGGTCTCGGTGGAGCAGGTGCAGAAGCGAACACCAACGTGAGCTACATGAACAGGTGGACGGAGCGTGGAGTGGAGCAAGTGAGAGAATCCAAGCGGCTACACGAGTGGAGTGGGCGCGTGAGCGCGTGAGCAGAATCGTGGGAACGAGCAAGCGAGCGAGCGGGAGAGAGCCACGCTTTGACACGTGAACCTCCCAGGTGGACCTCCCAGGAATACTGGGAGGTTCACTCAGCTAGTGACCGTGAATACAGCCTACAGGCGATGCCACGCTTCGCTCATTTTGACTCTTCGCATCGTGACGGTAACTGCAGGCACACAGCCCGCAGGACAGTGGTGCACCATTGGCTTGCGGAGTTCACAAAAAGTCTGCCTTTTTGGACTACGGTAACAGACTGTCTTATGCGTCGCCCAGTGCTTCAGCGAAACCATTGCTCTGCACCAAGTTTCATATCATTCAATAACAGCATGCTCCGGAACTACTTCAAGCAGCTGGTTTGCGCTGAAGCTGGGAAATCCTCGTCAGGGTACGTTTCCACACATTCTCTGAGCATGTCAACTCTGTAAGGACTGCCTTCTGAAGGTGCGAATGTGTCGTATGCAGCTTGGTCAGGAGGGCCTCGATGTTCAGTTGCGGCATGTCTTTCTTCGACTCGCATTGTTCACGAATGACTTGATCCACGAGGCCAAAGTCTGCAGCACCGTCCTTCCCGAGGAACGCGTAGCAGGTGTGGAGGATCTCTTCCTGGAGGAGGGAATCGAGCTTGCGGAACTTACGGGCCCCGTCGTCGCAAGACAAGACTCCACTGCCATCGATGTCGTTGCGTAGACGGGCCCAGGCTGCAATCGAATGTTGGATGGCAACGAGGCTGGATTTGTTGCTCAGCTTCAGGGCCTCGTGCACTGGGTCCACGAAGTCCGCATAGGCCAAGACACGCCCAAGCTCAGCCAAAGACTCCTGCAGGTTGACGGCGTCAGACGGTATCTTTGGGCCGGAGGTGGTGCCGCCTGGCAACTGCGTCTGCGAGGGTGGCCGCGTCTTGGAAAGAGCATCGCTGACGATGTAGGGCACTTCCATCAAGCTCGGGTAGTAGTTCTGCGCGCTGAGGTCCACGAAAAGGCCCAGGTTCATGAGGACCACCTGCATGTCGTCATCTTCCACATTGCCACACACATTGCGAGCGAACTTCTCCCAGCTTGGGTAGTTCTCCATCATGGCCGCGACGACATCGGACTGCACCTGAGGCGGCAATGCTTCCAGGACGGACTGCTGACAGTTTAGACAGTTTAGAGGTATCGATTATGCACACCTTTTCAGAGATCAGAATCATGCTAGTCACCCACCTTGTAATAGGCATTCCGAAGCTGACTTAGCCGTGTGTTGTCGCTGTTGACGATGACCGCAAGGTAGTCCATGATCACTTGCGTGTCCAGAATCGTGCGGAAACGACCCATAGCTTGCCACACAACCCTGTCTCGCATCAGCAGCTTGGAGTCCTTGAAAGCCTTGTGCAGCTTGTCCCTGTCCACGAAACCCACCAACCTGCCGATCGACATTACGTCCGCACCCAGCTGCTCAAGCTGCATCCACGCTTCGTGTGCATAGGCCACTGCAATCTGTCCCGCTTGCAAGCTTTTGAACAAATCGTCGCGAACTACCATTAGCAAGCGCTCGCTTCTGTTGCAGGCTGTTATGCGCTGAAGAGCAATGCTGAGCTCGGGCGACAGGTTCATTCTGGAAGCAGGCAGAGTCCACGATTGCTCCTGACGGCCACAACGCTCTCGTGCTGGACATGACCATGGTTTACCCTATTTTGGCCTCATCGCCGTCGTGCCACCATCAGCAGCACCAACGTCACAAGCAGCAAAATTCAACATATTAGGCCTCACCGTCATCAGCAACATCATCGCGATCAGCATCAACTCAATGGCATCGTCATCATCCAAAGCTATTCAATGCCGCCAAGCTTCGCTTGATGCTTTTGGCCCACGAGCAGTTTGCTTCGCGAGGGCGATATTGGCTTTTGGGCTGATCAAGACTCAAGACCAGAAATTAAAACCCTCATGGGGTCATTGTATACAGACATTGTGTCACCTGCGTCAAACTTCGAAAACCACTTGTCTTTGAATCTTGATGGAGCCGTCAGTGCTGCACACAAAAGCTCTCATGGGATCTCTTGCATGCGACCCAGATCTCACAGCCCGAGGTCGCGGCTGTGGGCGTGCTCGTCAACTCCAACGACTGGTGAAGCCAGTTTGAGGGCGGTACGCTGAAGGTGATGGCCTCGAAACTTCGCGGTTTGCTGGGAGTTGCTGGGGTTCAAGGTGGTGAAACGGAAGCACTTCAATTTACCCTTCCTGGCCTCGCTCAACATCCCGTCACCGCCGTCGGACATGTCTTCTGCATAGAGGTAGATCTCGGTGCAGGTCCAGGTGTCGCTGCATATCTCTTGTATCAAGGGCGTGAACTTCTCTCGGAGCCTGGTAGGTGGCGCCTTTGGTAAGGTTGCACCTTTGACAAGCTGCTGCAGCAAAAGATGAAAGAGTCAGCGGGAAGCGCGAAGCGCGCTGCCAGGGTTCTTGCGAGTCGAAGGTGATCGTGTGCTTGCCGCGAGCCTTCGTCTCGTCGACCAGGTGACAGGGACCAGCTGCAGCGCAGAAACTTTGAGAACACCCGACTTCCGTCGCTAGACATACACGCACCCAAGCATGCAGCACGCACTTACGCACACACACACACACACAGACCACGTCCTACACACACCACGGAACATCATGGGCCTCCAATAGAGATGGCCTAGGTGCCACACTCTCTGAGATCCGCCCCCGCCGCCCAGTGGAGGTCTGGTGTAAGAGGCGAGCGGGGTTGTTGTTCTTGATGACGTTCATTGTCACGAGACTCGCGTGCCCGGCATTCACCACCCGGCCCCAGACCTCACCACGCGGGGCAGGGATGAAAAAGGCATCAGTCTTTCTCTTTCCAATTCTTGCGTGCTCTCTCTGTCTCTCGCTCTCCCCCTCTCGGGCCTTGCCCATGGCATTAGCCACCTGCCAGACATGCCAAATTAGCTCCCTGGGTGGTTATCTCCTGGGTCCACCTCGTACTCCACTGTGCAGCCGTAAGGTGTGACCTTCGAGAGTCTCGGAGGCCAACTAAGTCACCATGTGCAACACACGTACCAAGAGCATGGCCATGTCATCTACGATTTTGGCCTCGCAAGCATAAGCTACCAATCCTTCGGGCTGGGGATGCAGCAGCAGCAGCAGCAGCGCAGGCAGCGCTGTGGCACTGGCAGGCGACACGAAGGCGTTGGACGTGGGGACTCTCACCGCCAGGTTCCTGAGGAGCAGAGCATACGACAGAGCCGCCTGCAAAAGCTCGAGTCGGTGCCAGGCATTGTCATGTAGCCGTCTCCAGCATAGTTGTTGTCCTTCGCAGTGTCGTCTTGGGCGTCACTTTTGCCGCTGCAAGAAAAATCGAAAGCGGGGTGCCTCTGCATAAGCAACCAGGCGATGCTCCACCTGAGAACTCCGCTCACCAGGTGGGGGCATGTGAAAGTCTTGTCGAAGCCGAGGGCATGGCACCCACTTCCAGGCCGCATCCGGTCATGTTGATCTCCAACTCTTCTGAGTTGCTCAGCATCGCCTGGAAACCCCGTGGCAACTACACACCCGATAGGTGCGCGCGCAATTGGCACGGCTTGGGGTTTCCATTCATCCAGCCTCACCGGAGGAGCAGCCACTGCAACCACTCTTCACGTCCTGGGCTGTCCCATCCCTCTTCACTCACATCCAGTGTCCCGACTCTACAGCACCCTCTTGCGCATGGACTGATGACCTCAGCAAGTCACAACAAAATCACAAACTTCAAAAACCCTGAAGCACTGTACCAGGCTGCTTACGGCTCCCGCCCTAGATCCGAAACCCACCAGGCCCCTAGAAACCCCACAGCTCGGAGGTCACGAAGCCCCCAAAAAAAGCCTAAAAAGGCCTCAAGGCCCTGACAAAACCCGAAGCTCCATAAAACTCCAAAGCTCCAAAGCCGCTGTTTAGGGCCCGGGCTTGCACGGTCAGGTCGCTGGCGTTCTCGGCCCGCACCAGACAAGCCCAGGCCCGGCCTCTCAGAGCAAAAAAGCCCCCAGGCCTGCAGGCCCCTGCTGTACTGCCCTCCATCTACCCTCCATTACACCCTAAATGCCCATTACATTATTTGGGACCATTCTCTGTTTGAGGGTACCAGGAGGGCTCTGGTACTTTGTACTATAGAATCTTGCTCTGTACTGGACCGGCTTACTACGTGCTGGGGTAAGATAATTATGGGCTTGCTTGGGGCATTCGGGGGTGGCACCCAAGGATCTTGGAAATGTTGGTAATTATGGAGGCTGCCAAAGCACCGAAAGAAAGTGTACTTCCGGGGACGTGCCTGTGGAGGCCGTGCCCATAAAGCTGGCTTTCACTATGTCCGGCGTGGGCACCTCGCATGCACTTGATTTGTGCTACCAGCCCGAGGGCTATGCCGGAACATCCAAAGGCAAAATGCAAGGCACGCAGTCACAAATTCAAACACAATGGATGACCACGTACGTCCCCATCAGCCTACATTATGCTCTCGAGATGAAATCATGGTTTTGGGCATGCCCCCCTGCGCGCTCGAGGATGGACGTCATCACGGTTTGGGCCTGGATGCTCTGGTCTTGGGCAAGGTCATTGTGACCCTATGCACTGCGACATTAACGTCATCATGCCCTGGAAAGTTTGAGGAATAGTCCATGCTGAAACTGCACGATCATGAGTGAACGTAGTCAGATGACATGACAGCTCTGGTGACCCACGTGCTCTCCGACGGAGATGCTCTGGATTCAGCTAAGCTGTGGTGACCGTGGAAGCGCTGGCGAAGGCAAAAGGCGGCTATCGGCCCCGGGCGCCTTTACTTAGAGCGCCTGCGCTTTACCTGAAGCGCCATGTACATTGTCCTGCCTCCGGCGCCACCAGGAGCACCATGTCGCAAAACGTGTGCTACTATCCTTTAATCTTTGCTTTTGCTAGGTCTAGCTTGCGTGCACGGGGGAAGCGGCCTCGGTCAAGTAGGGCAGCACGGCGAAGTCGTTGGAGGGCCTCGGCGAAAGCCAGGAGATGCCGAGCAGGCACGGGCATGATCAGTAGGGCTTGCAGGGCTTAGGGCTTCTGGTATCTTCAGCCTCCGAAAACCTTTTTGTAAGAACGTCGTGGGTGCCCGGGCGTTATTTGAAGCGGCACCGGAGGAGAGAGAGCGCCATCGTGGCCCGCGGCCTGGTTTGTCACGTACACGAGAACGGCGTAGCTCCAACCTTCCAGGGTCAGCAAGAAGGGGTTTGGCCTGTGGCATATGGCTGGTTTCCACGTTTCTGAGACCCCGGGCTGGCAATGAAGCTGCAGCCGGTGACGGCGAGCACGTGGCTTCCGGAGCTCGGCAGCGCGACACCGAGGCTGGAGCCTCGTTTGCAGTGGCCGCCGGGCCGCTTCCCTCTTTTTTATGAGAGCGCCGGACAAATGGCGCTGTAGCCGCTGGTCACGGTCATCGCCGTCGCCGACCTGAGAGCTCGGATCCGTGTGCTCTTGGAATTCGGCCGTCCGTCCTGGGCATCCTGGGCATCCTGGGCCGCTGGCGCTGCCTCGGCTGCTGGGATGGCGATGACCCACGCGACGCCATCAGTTGCCACCTGAGCGGTTTCACGACGCATCTGCTGAGTCGTCGGGAGAGGCTCCCTGAGCGCCCGGGCAGAGAAGCTGACGCTGAAGCCCGAGGTCGTGAGAGCCCCGGAGAGCTGGGGCACCTGAGCTCCGAGGAAGCGAAACCTTGAGGTGCGCGGTGGGGCGGGGAATCTCCGCGCAGTTGTCTGTGCCTGTGTGAAGTAGTTGGACTCGCCCGGAACGACGGTCGCAGGCAAACCTGCCGACCTCAGCTTTCAAACTCGGCCCACGGCTGTTAGGACCCTCTCCGATCCGAGACTCCGGCAAGGTGCCGTCCGTCGTTCCGCCCATGGAGTCGCTGACGTAGACGTAGACCTCTCAGCAAGGGCACATGTGAAACCCCGGGTCTCGGGGTCTCGAAGACTCCTCCGGCCTTGTAGCTCTCAGAGTGGGTCAGCGCGCAGCTTGACAGCTCCTCACTCTGCTCGCCACCCGAAACCTGAAGTGTGTGTGCAGTCTTCTCTTGTTCTCTCGGTACCTCTTTTACTCTCCTCCCTCCCCCTCCCGCTCCTCCTCCCTCTCCTTTTCCTCTTGCCTTTCTCCTTTCTGGGCCCGGCACCATCATCATCTTGCTGCACATGAGGTCGCTTGGAAGCCCGGACCGCCTCAAGAGACGGCTCAGCCCACGGTAGAGCTTTGGAGCCTGACCCTCAGCCTGAGCGCAAACCAGGCTACGCAAAAAGCCCTCCAAAAAACACGAAGAAGAAGAAGGAAAGAAATCTGCTGAAGTACAAGAAACAGGAGGCCGGTTGCGGTTGCTTAGGCCCCGTGATTGGTCATAAAGTCAGAGTCTGAGCCAACGACAGCGACACGATGTCCACAAAGGCTGGCGCCGTGTCCTTCAGCAGGTAGATGTTGCCTGAGCCACAATAAACACAGGTTGGGTTTCGCAAGCCAAGAGACGAATACGTGGAACCCTGCCATTCGATTCACTCAGGTCTACGCTAGAGTCTAGAGTCTAGAGGCGAGGCACGGAACATCACGGAACGAAAAAGAAAAGAGCAGCCGGGGCCCATCATCTCTTTGCAGAAAACATGACGAGCTTGAGCTCCGGCCTCTCCCGGCGGCTTGTGCCGAAAACGTCACCCAGACGCCGGCAGCCGTCATGGAGCCTCACAAGATCAGATTTGAAAAAATAAAAAAGCATGGGGAGGGGGAGGGGGGGAGGGGGGGGGGGTTGTTACACTTGCCGACTGAGCCGCTGGAGATGCGGGGTCCCATCGTGAAGCTGTTCCTTGCAGGCCCCAGCTTTAGCCCAAGAGCTCTGTCAGGATACGAGCAACATGTCTGTTATTGGGATTTTCCCGGGATTCAGGACTTCGGAGGTTGAATTTTTCAGCCTCGCTTTGGAACTTCGGGCCGATGGGGGGAGGGATTTGCCTGGCAATACCATGCTCAGCCAAGGATCGAAACGGGAATCGCTCCCACCACGGAGCCAGAGAGCACCTCTTGCAGTCAGCAACGCACTCAGAACGGACGTGCTGATTGGGCTCACCGTCAGCTCTCCGTCGTTGCGATCGTTGCGATCCTCCCAGAGGGTTCGGAGAAGCATGCGAAGAAGGCGATGCACTACAGCCACTACACGGTTCTCCACGTCTCCTCCACGAGGATTGCAACCTGATATTCCACACCTCAGGGCAAAGGAGGACGACGACGCTTCCCGGTCTGAACCTGCTCTGAAAACCAGCCTCCAACCAGCTCGCACGTGGTTGTCGACAGCTCTGCATTGGATGATGAATCGACCTCCCGGCGACTTGATGAACGACCCCGAAAAAACAAAAAAAATGCATGGCCAGGGCAAGCGTGATGGCTGCACATGTGAGAGTGCAGCTTACACCCCACAATGACACCCGTCACACTCTGCTCACCCCGAATCCCCGCTCACAACCGTCAACCTCAACCAATAGAATCATCGCTGCATCTCCCTCAATGCCAACATACAACATGCAAGCTTTACCCAGCACTCACACTCTTGCTCAAACAAAAAAAGGGTGATGAATGCTCAAGACCTAGGACGCATAAGATCGAGTCGTTTCACTTATTCATTTTTTTAAAGCATTAGTTCAGGCAAGGCAACGCAAATCGTACGAACAATTGCGTGGGTTCAAGACATGGAACAGTCACAAAGACAGGTTGCACGAATCGACGAGCGCAAAGTTCGGCAGAGCTAAGCATGGTATATCTTGCATGGAATCAAGTCCAGAATCACAGAAGCCTGGACGGCAGCCACGCCGCAAAGCGCATTGCTCACGTTTCTCCTGACCGCTCACCACTCACTCCCTGCCGGCCAGTGACCAGCCCTCAGGAGCCCCACGCGGCAGCGACGTCCACCACGGTGGCTGCTGGATACACCGTCAACCAGGCATGCCCTGATCGCGAGTCCGAGTCCCGAAGAGATGAAGTGAACACCTGTCAGGAACTCGGCGCCTAAAGCCGCGGTGGTGTTGATTTCCACGGTGACCGTGGAGCCACTGACGAAGGTCACTTGCGCCGGGTCGGCAAGACCTCCGAGACCACAAAATTCGGGTCCTGATCTTCGGGCTCAGAAATGTTGAGAGGGGCCCCGACGATTGGAGAGGGGGATGCTGAGGAGCATGGGGCCGAAGAGCGTGCCGTCCGTGGCTGCAGCACCTGTGGGCCTCGAAGTGTCGGCTCTGATTGTGGAAAGCACAGCTCACAAGATTGCGAGCTCTTGCTGAGCCCGCGGCCAGGTACCCCCGGGCATGTCATCCGCGTACGCCCAGAGCTCGTAGTCGGTTCCTGGTAGCTCAATGGATCCGCTCGCAGGCTTTTGCCGGGGGGCAGAAGACTGGAACAGATCTTCGGGCTATACCATGATTTTCCGTGCCGAACATGCGAAGCTTAGCTTCCCCTAAACTCTAAACCCTATACACCCCTAAACTGCGGTAGCCGGCAGCTGGTTCCTTTTTCCCGCTTTCGCGGCCGGGATGCTCTTCGGGCTCGGTGAGAAGGCTCATCCATCGGAGGGCAAAGGGCGCTTCACGCGGCCTTTCCTAAGGAAGCCCTCACTTCTTTAAGACCTGTACTAAAGTCGGCGTGGCTTCAAGCATCTTCATGTACTCGGCCTCCTTCTGTTGCTCCAGAGCCTCGAGCTGCTTCAGCTCCATGGCCTCTTCGAAACTGCAAGAAACGCAAGAAGCCCTGCTCAGGCTTAGGCCCTGAAAGGAGTCTCCGAAGACCGGTTTTTGCTTCCGGCGCCTTCTGGGGAAGCTGTGCCTGGAGCTCCCGGGCACGGCTCGCCGAGGCCGCCAGGTCCGCCTCCACTTGGCCCTTCTCCGCGGCGAGCTTGGAAAGCTCAGCCTCCAAAGTCTCCGTCTGCTCCGTCATCTGCCGGATGGCCTTAGAAAAAAGGGGCCAAGACTCAGACTGCGACTCGCTGTTTCCTCTCGAGTTTCTGGGCCTGCGGCATCGTGGAGTGCCTTGGCCTTCTGCACTTGCGCATCCTTCTGCGACATGGCTCCTATCGCCTGAGATCTACGTCTGGAGCCGGCGGCGGCAGGGATCAAATCGGGCCACGAGGCGTGTCCTTTCCTCCTTCCCTCCCTGCACCCGGTCACCCGGTCCTCCGAGCAGTCCGCAGCCCGTGAAGCTTTGGGTCTGGGAGGACAAACGTGCGCGTCTCCAGCACTTCAGGGAAGCTCGCGGCGCGAGCCTGCAGCGTCGTTGCCGCCACCACGACGCCAACTTCTGGCAGGAAGCCTGGGACCGTGCAGAAGAGAGAAGCACAAAGCGCCTTGGCGCCTCGCAGCCGCGGCAGCTGCGATTGCGCCGGGGCACTGCAGGTGGTGTCGCCCACGGCATCCGTGCCCGCCAGCAAGGAGGCCACACCTGAGCGAGGCGGCCGAAGAAGCAGGATTTCCGGTAGATTTAACTCTGACTCTGAAGAACTCCGAGGCTCATGCTGACCATCGCCCCTTGCGCAGTGACAATGGCGTGGAACCGGCCAGCAACGGCCTCGGAACTGGGCAGTCAGCTGCAGTCTTTTGGCGCGTTGTCGGGGGCCGGGCGAGGCGATAAGTCACATCGAAGCCGCCACCCGTGAGCGCCGAGACAAGCTTGGGGCTCTCCTCGCCGAGCGCCAGAGCTTGCAGAGACACGCCCAACTTGTTCTTTTTCCCGCCTGGAAGGAGTTTGGGACGGTGGCCGCTGCCACCTTAGCACGAAGCGAAGGAATGCGAAGCCGTATCCTCGAGTCCTCCGCGCTTGGACTTGGGTCGCCGGACGTTGGCCGTGACCATGGCCACGGTGCCGTCGTTGTTGCCCCTGTCATCCTCCGAGCCAGGAGCCCTAGAGCGTCTAGTGCAGCTCAGGCAGCTCAGGCACTAGGGCACTCTCGGGTCCTCCACGTAGACGTGCAGCTTGTAGCTCTGCCCCGCCGTGAGCACGCAGCCCGGTGGCGTGGCCGTGAAGTTGCCGATCTCGAAGTCCATCCCTTGGAAGACGTCCGCACCCTGCACGTTGCAAGTGGCGCCCCCAGAGGCCATGTGCAGGGCCTGAGCCAGAAGAAGTGCTTTCTGCTTTTTGTTGGCTTCCTCCGCAGCTTCAGCCACCGAGGCCAGGCCTTGATCTCCGCAGGCGTGCGGGAGTCAGTGCTCAGGGTGAGGATCGCCTCAAAGCACGGAGTCAATACAAACCGTCCGAAAGGGACACAGAGAAAGAGAGGGAGAGGGAGAGAGCGGGAGCGAGAGAGAGAGAGAGAGAGAGAGAGAGAGAGAGAGCGGATCGGGCTCCAGGTGCCAAGCCCAGACTTTTCCGTCATAGGCTGGGGCAAAGGAGTAGCTGATGCTCGACGGGAAGGGCGTCCTGGCGGAAATTTTAGATCGAACGTTCCCTGCTTCGAGTCTTAAGTCGACTCGCCTCAGCTCATACGGCATGATCTGGAACACGTTGGACGCGGGAAGCACCACATCCACGGCCCCGGAGAGGGTGCCGTCGCCCAGGCCATTGCCATCCTCTCAGCAAGTGTAGAGAAGCTGACAAGCTCATGTGCCAATATGGCTCAGAAGGAGCCTCCACGTAGACGAAGGCTTTGTAGGTTGTGGCCATGACCTGAAGGATCACGCGTGGCCAACACCTTCCATGGGTCTCGTGCCAGGGGCCAGGGCCAGGGAGCAGCCGGTGAACGACATGGTCTCCATTGCCCCTGCGGTGATCGCCTAGCGTCGAGTTCAGGACATTCCGGGGCCAGGGGCATCTGAGCAGAAAGGCCTGGTCCGCCACCAAGCAGACGCCACCGTAGGCACCTGGCAGCGCGAAAAGGCCGCCGAGAGCCGCTCTCCCGGAAAGTGCGGGGCCTGTGCCAGCTTTGATGGTCCCCACATTCACCGAGGCCACGTTCGCTTGTTCGACCTGCTAGGCGACCGCAACACACATGAGGTCATCATGTCTGTGCGAAGTCCAGAAGCGAGGCAGGTGCACCACGACGCCCCAGGCTTTCCCGCTCTGCTGCGCGGTGAAATGGATGTCCACACCTCGACGCTTCCACGTTGCTCTCCCGGCCTCTGTACCCTCCCGGCATTCACCGAGTGGCAGCAAGGAAAAACGGAGTCGGGCCTTCCGAAGTCGCGTTCGAAGCCTGCAGATCCTGGCAAGTCAAACGTCGGAGGTTTGAAGCCCAAGCCACCGAGCTGGGGCTGGGGCGGAGGAGAAGCTGTTGGAGGTCGGCACCTGGCTCTTGCACAGCACGGGCTCTCCGGAGTCAGAAGCACTCAACCGC